TTATAAAACTTTTCACGTGATTATCAGTGTTTAAATTTATCAAGTTTAAATTTAAAGTATAGATATTTTTTTGAGGTTTGAATTAATATTCGCCTTAAGTCGTTTTCAAATTGATTGTAACTGCCATTGGGTGGTCGATATTAAACTGTTATAAATGAATTTTTCTTTTCGGTTTACTATCTCTATAGTTAATGATTCATAATTCGAGTTATTCACACTTAAACTAGTATTCACATTAAAACTATCTATTTTTTTATGCGTCAACGAGTTGTGAATAAATATGCATACGTCTCCGCCAATACAGTTTTTTTTTGGTTGGTGAACAGACTTGTTAATTAATCTGTTAAATGCAAATTAGAGTCACTCTTATCTTCACTCTGGCACCAGGTTTCTATAAAACAGATTAAAAACAGATTATACTGAATTTAAAATTTATATTATTTAGCATTTTAGATTAATTTTAGATTTTCAAAGTTTTTGCTCATGCTTCTAATATTTATATTTAGCAATGACATGTAATGTAATGACTTAGAATACTTGTAACCTCATCAACTTTAAAATAATTGGTTTTTAAGAGCCGTTTTTTCTAAGAATCAGGCAAATTCCTGAAACTGTGGAAGTGACCTCGTCCAAATTGCTTGAATTTTTTATATATTGATCAGAATATAGAGAAAACCTATTGGGGAAAAAAAAAAATTTCAAAAATGTTTCGTTCACTCGGAATCTGGGCTTAAATTTTTGAGATTTTTTTAAAGATTTTTAGAAATTTAGTTTTTGCCACCTTTGAACCCATTTTTTTGGCAAGGCAAAAAGTTGCACATAGCTTTTGTAGTTAATATCAGACGTAACCCAAAAGCTCTCTCCAAAAAATATAAAAAAATTGCGTGACACTGTGCGGTTGGCTAATTATCATAGTTCAAAAGTACAAAATCAATCAGTTTTGTCAATTTTTAATCGGAGTTAATTCTAGCGGCGAAGTGTTGCACACAATTTTTCTTTTAGGATTTGAAATTATCAAAGGTATTGAGTCTAAAAATGCAAAGAAAGTTATGTGATACCTAAGGCCTATTAATATATTAAGGCTTGAAATTGGAAAAAAATGTTTTAGTATACTTACAAAATGAACCATTACGGCAGAGGCGCTTAGTTTTGTAAAAATGTAAACATATCCAACTGTCAATACAAAAAGGTCCTAACATAATAATAAAAAAAATTTGTGTGATTTTGTCACACGCATGATATAACATAAATTAAAAACTAAACAAAAATCTAACATCAAGATAACTATATTGCTAATTAGATAAAACATAAATCAAACATTTAAATGTTTTTCCATTTAAAAATTAGTTTTTCATTTATTAATAGAGTCATTTACACACATTATCCACCACATCACACATAATTTCTACTCTGCTGCAGTAAGTTTCTCTAAGAATAATGATATGACTGTATTATAGTCTTCTTCGGATAATGAATAATCGCCACAACCACTGATTAGAAAAGGAGCATTTACTAAACAGATAATTTTATCAGTTTGGTTATTTATCTTCTCGGTAGTAACTGGCCAGCGAAAAGTATTCTTCTCTTGCCCGTTAATCATACAATTAATTCTGATCCCAGTTATAGATACCTAAAAGTATTAGCGCAACATTTAAAATAATATAATAAAGAGTCTATGATTTGTTTAATTTTGCTTACATTCAATAAAACTTGTAAAGTCTTATATAATGTCATTCTGAAATTATTTTTACATTTTATTTATATTCCTTTTATTTTAGAGCACTGTTTTGTAAAACAAAATAAAAACTTGAAACTAATATATACTTTGAATAATATTACCTCCACAATATATCCAATATTCCATTGTTTTTCATATGTAACAGCAACCCAATCATTCACTTTCCATACAAGACAAATTTCTTTTGCAAGATTGGCGATGTCTTCCTCATATTTATTATCATCTTCATTGTCTCCTGTCAGATTAAAGTCATCATTTTCGCCATAAACTTCTTTGTTATCGTTAACCTGACTATTTTCATTATTTTCTGTTGTCGGTTCTACCAGCTTACCTTTTCTTTTCAGGTTACTAAATCTATAACAATATCAATTATACATATTTTTAAACATATGTAAACAAACACACAAAATTATAACTTTCACCTAAATTTTAATTTCATATTTGTAAAAGAACTATTTAACAGTCAGAAACATAATCTAATTTGCAAAAGTTTTGATAGCAACAATGCCTACCTTGAAAATAAAGATCTTATCTGTTGGCTAGTTACATATTGATCAGGCGGAAGTTCTCTCCTCAGCTGCATGTGAACCTGCTCAGGGCTCATTTTATTACCTGATTCTTCTCCACGAATAAAGTATTTATACAACAGTTCTTTCTGCTGATTTGAAAATCTAAAAGAACTTCGAACTGGTAATGCCCAACCTTGCAATAGAAAAATGTTCATGCAATGTGGTTTGTCTTTTACGGAAGCACTGTTAGAGGATGAAGAAATTGGCATATCTAGTTGTGAAGTAATTTTCATCTTATGAACAAACGAGTTGCGAACTTTATCCAATGATGTCAATGATTTCGCAACTGTATGAAGACCGGATAGCATGTGTTCTTCTAACTCAGCATCGCTTTCAAATGATAAAGTACAATTCATTTCAGTGCAAAATCTTAATGAATATAATTGCCTTTCACTTCTTTTCTGTTTTTCCTTAAGTGACTTGTTACGCTTAATTGAATTATCTGTTTTGCTATATGGCAACAACAACTTAATCGAGGGTTGAATTTTAAGATTTCCATACTCTTGTTCAATTCCCTCACCGATATTGAAATAACGCCACATCTTCATACTTTTCTCACCAAACTCAAATGAGTGATAGTTGCTAATGTTCTTAATCTTTGGTCCAGTAACTACAGTTTTATCATTGCTAATTTGAGCAACTGCTACTTTTGCATCTTTAGCGCCAAAACTATAATGCATAGCCTTGTGTATATCTTCAGCAGTCAAAAGATTATTACCAGAGTCAACGTAACTCCTTAAAATTGTCTTTACAACTGCACTCTCCCTGTCACATTGATCTTTTCCACAACAGGGTTCATTATAATCATATATCAGCAACTTTATATCTCTCTCTTTGCATACATTGTAGATTGCTTCAGCTGAAAGATTTCCCTGATAGCAGCCGGCATTATCAGATTTGGTAAACATTTTCTTGATATGCGGTTGATCAATTCTGAATTGGTCTAAAACTTCAGTGGCTAACGAAACAACATCACCTATTCCCTGATCACACCTATACATTGAAGTAAAGTAAACACGTTTGAATAACTTTCCTGCTATTTTTATGAAGAATATATCCACATGTAAACTCATTCCTTTCTTGCCAAAATACTCTCTTTGGCCCTCTCTGTATCGAACCGGAAGAATTTTTTGACAAAAATCTTTAAGCCAGAAAGCAGTTTCATTGTTTAATTGCTTAAAAGCTTCAATTTTTGCCTTTTTCTGTTGAGAATCTCTCATCAGGTGTTTTATGTAGTTGAATACATCCTTTACAGCAATTTCCAAATCATAAATAGAATCAGCATCGCCAGAATTTTGAATTGTTAGTTCTTTGATCATCTCGATAGCTTTGCACAAATCATAGCAATCGGCACATACCACTTCTGATATCTCTGTGTTGGATTGAAGATTTTTTTCAGATGGATCTGATAAGGCATGTTTTGAGCTATGAGAAGAAATGTTTGAGTCATTGACACTACAATTGGTTTGATAACTTGTTTTCAAATACCTTTTTCCTTTTTCAAGGGGAGCTTCGAGAGATTTAGAACTAAATCTTTGTGCCAATTTTTGTAATGTTTGAAAACCATTCATGCCTGAAGCAGTAACGTCATCTAATCCAGCTAAGCTTTTTCGACTTAGCTGGATTAGATGAAGGTTCGAAGGTTTTATTGCATGCAATACTTTCCACAAACTTGAATCAGATAATGGTATATAATTGTTTTCACTACAACTTTTTCGATAGAACATGATAGCGTGGCTATAATTTTTGTCGTCAGTATTGCATGCACTATCTTTTGTTCTTCACCGCTGTCGTATTTTAATTTGGTTATTCCATAAGCAACATCATGCAAAATACCGCTTGTAAATATAAAGTCTAAGAAATGTTCACACTTTGTTTGATCAAGACTAGATCGGACAAATACTTTCTTCTCTGGAAATGCCAACCCTTTATGAGATGCATGCCATTTTCTTGCTGTTTTTATACAATGTTTGGTACACTCAAATGTGTTCATTATAAACTTTTTGGTATACTTGGTATGGTCTAATAATGAGAGGATAACTAACTTTCTCATGGAATCACTTTGCTTATATACTTTCTGAGCACGAATAATTTCAATTGGGAGAGGGCTATTTATTTCATCAGCATTTTTACTGTTAAGAAAATCTATAAGTATTTCCTCTTGTCCAGGAGCAACAGCTTCCGCAAATTTTTTCTTTAATGAGTTTTCTAGGCGAACATACTTGCGTTTTAACTTATCTTTAGTAGTATCTTCCAGATATTCGAACTTCCTTTTTAATCTAAATTTTATTGGACTTGCATTAAGAACCTCAGTTACACTCTCACGGCTTCTTAGAGATTCGTCCAATATCTCCTGTGAAACATTAATTTCACCGGGATCAAATTCTTCATCTGGAGTAGCAGGTGTCATATATGTTTGTTCTTGTTGTGTTTGTGTTTCTGTACATAAATTGGTGTTTTCGTTGACTCTAGATAAGCAGTTTCTTGCTTTAAATGGGTAAAACACAGCATTGCACCAACTAAAAATACTTCATTTATCGCTTTGACATTGATATGACGACATGTATTGGTGACGCCCTCAAAGCGGGAGATTTTTTTCCTTTTATATTTAGATGGTGAGGATGAAAGCATGGAGGACTCCATGCAATACCAAACGTGTACCGGCGAAAAGCACATATTTGTTCATCCTTTTCAAGATTTCTTTTAAGTCTATTTGCAATAAGTCCATTTTCTTCCCAAATATTATTATCGTTTAATCGCATGACCTAAAAACAATTTTTTAAACAATTATTAAGTGTGTCATTTAAAGCATTGTTTATAATCTGACTCTTCACGAAAAATGTTTACAAGTTTGAAATACATTGTTGTTATTATTAAAATACAATATTGCAAGAGTGTGATTAATTTAGTGATTATTTATTAAAAGAGTGAGGAATTAATTAAAAGAGCTATTTTTTTTTGTTTAAAGAACTTTGTCTCAAAATCTTATTGCAGAGAAGTTATAAAGTATGTAATTATAAAAATTATATTACAGTCTGCGTAAATTTAAAATACATAATTACCTTTAAGTTGATGAGGTGTTTCTTAACATCAACAACTCCCAGCTGATGAATGTAGAACATTTTGTTTATAATTTTATGTTTTTTGAATGATCCACAATTTCCTTTTGAAAAGCAACAACAGCTTTCATAAAAATATTTGTTTTGTTCCATACTCAACTAAAAACAAGTTCTATTTATGCAGTACCTATTTCTCAGTAGCAATGATAAAATATCTACTCTATTTATGCAAATTTTAAAGATCGTTAAAATAAAGTTAAGGGATTTTTATGGTAAAGTAAACAACCGCCCACTAACTTGTTTCTCCACAATCGTGATATCAGCGATTCTTCTTCCATTCGATCACCACAAGTTATTTGGTTATGACGTAAATTTAAATAATTTACTTCTGATCATGTATTGTTTTTTATTATTATTTATTTCAATTGTTATGACTTCTATATCATAGTCAGAAACGCTTAAATTTTTTCTTAACATTACGTGCAATGTTTTGTGTAATGCTAATTGCTAATTTTGGATGATAGAAATTTTATTGTGAGCAAAAACCTCATCTGTGTGTCCAAAAAAATATCTCTTCGTACTTAATCATTTTTAACAATTTGTACCTTTATTTTTAACTTAATATCTAAAGATCACATGAGTTTTTTTTTAAACTATGTTAGGGTCATCTTATATTGACCATTTAACATGATTATATTTTTACAAAACTTAGCGCCTCTGCCGTAATAGCTCATTTTGTAAGTATACTATAACATTTTTTTCCAATTTCAAGCCTTAATATATTAATAGGCCTTAGGTATCACATAACTTTCTTTGCATTTTTAGACTCAATACCTTTGATAATTTCAAATCCTAAAAGAAAAATTGTGTGCAACACTTCGCCGCTAGAATTAACTCCGATTAAAAATTGACAAAACTGATTGATTTTGTACTTTTGAACTATGATAAATTAGCCAACCGCACAGTGTCACGCAACTTTTTTATATTTTTTGGAGAGAGCTTTTGGGTTACGTCTGATATTAACTACAAAAGCTATGTGCAACTTTTTGCCTTGCCAAAAAAATGGGTTCAAAGGTGGCAAAAACTAAATTTCTAAAAATTTTTAAAAAAATCTCAAAAATTTAAGCCCAGATTCCGAGTGAACGAAACATTTTTGAATTTTTTTTTTTTCCCCCAATAGGTTTTCTCTATATTCTGATCAATATTTAAAAAATTCAAGCAATTTGGAGGAGGTCACTTCCATTGACTGCCTGATTCTTACAAAAAATGACTCTTAAGGAATAATTGTCAAGAATGTTCAATGTTCCTTTAAAAATGACGTACGTTTTCACCAGAAAATGTATTAAAAAATTAAAATTAATTATTTCCGCCATTTATAAAGACAAGAAAATAAAAAAAATTAGAAAAAAGAAAGTTAAATAAATAAAAAGTGCGTTACTTTTACTTTGGAACATTGATTGAGTATTTTACCGCGTTTTTTAAACGAATAATTGTCAAACCTCAATGCAAAGTTTTCTCCCTTTAAACGTCGTTCTTTAACTTCTGCAAACAACTTTTTTCTAATATCAACTGTAATTTTGGAAAAATCTTCGTTTACATATATATTTGATCCTTTTAATTTATTTTTTTCTTTCAATATTTTCATTTTATCTTAATAACTTTTTAATTTCATCACGATTGATCTTGTACGATTATCTCTTTTAATTTTTTAATTTTTTTTTTATTTGTTATTTTAGGTACCTCAAGAAGACCTAATGATCTTGTTACAGAGCACCGCGGAAGTACATTTAACCACAAAGTTCACGCCTCCTTCCTTAAAGTGACGCGAAATAGACGAATAATTTATAATAGAATCTATAACCATTTTAATGAAAATAGTTTATTTTACACAAAACAGTTTGGTTTTCGGAAAAAACATTAAACAGAACACGCAATAATTAAAATAGTAGACCAAATTACTAAAGGATTTGAAAATAATAGCTTCACTCTAGGATTATTTATTGACCTATCAAAAGCATTTGATACGGTTGATCACCTAATTCTTTTGGAAAAAATAAAACACTACGGAGTGATAAATAAAACATATGATTGGTTAAAAAGCTACCTCACTGAGAGAAAACAATATGTTATTAGTAAGGAATCAGGTCAACTTAATATTTTGTGTGGAGTTCCACAAGGATCAATTCTTGGTCCATTGCTTTTCTTGATTTATGTAAATGATTTTAATAATGCATCAGCTAAGCTTAACTCGATAATGTTTGCTGACGACACAAATCTCTTCCTTTCAAACTATGACATTAATCAACTGTATTCTGACATGAACTCTGAACTAATAGTTGTAGATGAATGAAAAAAACATTTTTATTTCAAAAATTACTGTTTTCTACCGTGACAAGCCGAACTTCCGAAAGGATACGAGAAGACGCAGATGTCTACTAATAACTCTTTAAGGCAAATAAACTTTCACTCAATGTAGATAAAACAAAATATACTTTATTTCATAAAAAATCACAAGATGAAAAACCTCCTTTAAAATTACCTGATTTGATTTTAAATGATGCACTAATTAGTAAAAACGATTCAACAAAATTCTTGGGAATTCTTATTGATGAAAATTTATCATGGCTTCCCCATATTAACTATATTCAATCAAAAATTATTAAAACAATTGGTCTGATGTACCATATTTGTCCATATGTAACATCAGAAAGTCTGAAATTAGTATATTTTGGCCTAATACATTGTTTCATATAAAATGCCAATATCACATGGGCTAGTACTCAACCAACAAAACTTAAAAAAAATATTTTCTTTACAAAAACATGCATGCAGACTTATATATAAAAAAAAAAAAAAATGAACATGCAAAACCATTAATGGAAGACATGAAAATGATGAATATATATGAAATCAACATTTACCAACACCTAATTTTTATGTATAAATGTAACAACAGCTTGATTCCAAAAAACTTTAATGATAAATTTACAAAAAATGTAAACAAAAAATATTCTCTTAGAACAAGCCAATGGAATACTTATAAATTACCAAAAATTAATAGTAAATATTCTGAATATGGAATATCATACCGCGCACCAAAACTATGGAACACTTTTCAAAAAACAAAAAATTAAAATACTGTAAAATCATTAAATTCCTTTAAGTTTATAATAAAAAATGAAATTTTTAAATTAGATAAATAGTTTTTTTGATTTTTCGAAATGAAAATCGAGTTCCATTATTCTTAGTTATTTTACTTGTTAATTGGCTCTTATTTTGATATTTAACAGAGTTGCCAATATATTTTAATGAATATTGATAAAACTATATGTTGTTATTTACTTTCTTGGTTTAATGGAAATATTTATTCAAGCTTTAACCTTTTTATTATATTGGAGATACTATTTTTCTTAACTTGTAAAGCCCACCTAGGGGTTTTATAAAAAGATTGTGGTGACTTTAGTCATCCGTATCTTCTTTGAGCTTCTGCCTGTTTTTTATAAATTCACTTTTTTTGTATGTAAACGTTTCTTTGTAATTATATTTCTTATTATATAAAAAGCAAATATATATTAAAAAAAAAAAAAAAAAAATTTCCAAAGCTCGTTTCGAGCTCGGATCTCCTGCTTATAAAGCAATCGCTCTAACCATTGCGCCACGGCCGCATTTAATTCAAGTACGATGTGCACGTTCAATGTCGATTCCCAACAAACCTAGATTTTTCTCAAGAAATATTTTACTTTTCTTTTGTTTGAGTTATCGCTTTCATTTCATTATCGTTTTCCGGTAAACCATCAATTCTTAAGTTATCTCGTCTTGTTCTATCTTCAACGTTTCTTTGTTGATTCTTTAAGAGTTGCAAACAAGTTAATTTTTTTTCAAAGGTGTTGTGGCAAGCCTCGACTTTTTGATTAATAAAGTTTTCTTGAAAATTTAAACTTAATTTAACATCTGTAACGTCTTTCTCAAGTATTTTAATTTTACACTTATGTTTTCATTTAGAATGTTTTCAATTTCATCCAGTTAATAGTAAATTACTTTCGTATTTTCGCTTATAATATCTAAAACATTTTTTTTTTGTGGTTTGAGTAATGCTTCCGTTTGATTTTGCATTTCTTTCTTGAATTGCATGAACATTTCTTTTAACATTTTTTTATGGAGAAAAAAAATGTTAAAAAAAAAAGGGAGATGACAAAAAAAAAAAGGTCATGAATCTCCTAATGGTGTTATTACAGCAATACGTCGTACTAACAATAAAGTTATTGACTATGAAGTGCTTATAAAAGAGTGTCCAGCTTGTATTGTAAAAAGAAAGGTACAGATGAATATCAAATATGGAGCAGCAGCCATAACTGTTCAATAAACCACAAGGGCTCAGCAGGCTCAATGAAGACACACTGCTGCTATAAGAGCTGTTTTGAAATTAATTTTTATGGAGGTGATTACTGATAGTTTATCGATTAAATGTTTGCATCGAATGACCAAGAATTTCAATGAGTTTATAATGTATTTAAATTATTAAACATTATTCCTGAAACTTCATTTTGCAGAAATGGTTCAAAACGAGACTTATGTAGAATAAAAAAAGCTAACAAGAAATCAAGTAGTTCCTGTAAAAAGCCAAGAAAAGTATTAAAAGCTAAAAGAAAAGGTTTTATTGATGAGCTGACAAACACAAGTCTTATATGACTCATATATTTGATACTTTAATGTTTGTTATTTTATATTTAGTTTCTTATTTTCGTTTTTCTCACCGGTTTCGGAATAAAACTTCTCTTGCCGTTTTCAGATTAAATTTCTTTGATTTTACAATTTGACCTAAAAATTTCATAAATTATTCATTAAAGTTTGATCTACAAGCTGAATTATAATGGAAGTTTTTTACTTTTTATTTTTTAAAATTTTGCTAATAGAACAAACGTAACTATAGTCAATTTTTGATATAAATGATCTATTATCTATAAAATATACTCATTAAATTTTATTGATTTTAGTTAAAATTGTTCTTATTTAAAACTTTTTGTAAAATTTTTTTTTTCAATGAGTAAATATGGTTTAAAAGTTATTGGGATATTTTGGGTCACAACATTGTTTATTTAGCTCGTAAAATATTTTCTTATATCTAGGCATCCTATTATATGCAGTAAAAAAGTGCTTCAAGGTTGAACATTAGTGAGACAAGTTTGATGGTATAAGGCCACCTAAATATGATTGAATGCATGGACTATTTATTTAAGATGTTTTGGGTATTTTCTATGGAATATCCAAATGGATTAAAAATGTTTTTTAAATTTCTGGAGTTCAAAATATATCAATAAAATTTTTGCAGAGAAATAATCTTTGAATAGTGTAGATCAACTTTTTCAAATGTTCTAATAACAAAGCATCTGCGTCTCAAAACGGTACAAGACCAAACGAGACAAAACTATAAAAAAATATTATCTCGATAAAACCGGTACGAAACGAAACAATTCATATACATACAATTTCGGAAAAACCGATACAAAACGTAACAAAATTTTTGTGTTTCGTTAAAAATACGGTACAAATCGAAAAAATAATTTTTTGTTTTGTAACGAAATAAGGTTAAACTAAATAAAGTACGAAATAACCGGTACGAAACGAAATAAAGTTAAACTTTTTAGTTTAACTTTCGTTAACGAAACATTAAGTCAGTGAGTCATAAACGCACCATTGCTCTGCTTGAATGTTATAATTTATAAATTGCATGGTTTGTGGGAGTTGTAAAATGTCTGTTTGGAGCGGGGGAATTATGAAATGTTCCGTAAAAACCGATACGAAACGAAACACAATTTTCTTGTTTCGTAAAAATACGGTACAAAACGAAACACAATTTACTTGTTTCGTAAAAATACGATACAAAACGATATGATACTTTTTTATTTCGAAAATTATCGTTTTCTACCGTGACAAGCCGAACTTCCGAAAGGATACGAGAAGACGTCTACTAATAACTCTTCTTTTCGCTTTTATCTGGTGTATATTTATTTTTGTTAAAAATATAACTATGTAAATATGATACTCTTAACTTCAGATCTTAAAATTTTTGTGTTTTTTAATGTCATCGATTATACGTTTTTCAAAAAGTAGATTATGTAAACGTACAATAATAATTAATAATACAGTAAAGAAGTTTTACTCAATATGATTTCTCTCTGTCAAATACTGTCTCATTCTTGTTACCTCTACTAAAAAATTAATTGCCTCAATAATATTACATAAAATAATCATATTGTATTATATACAAAGTATATTGCATTAATTATATAAAGGAAATTATTACCTATCGATTTTTTATTTTAAGGAAAGAATTTTCCTTAAAAATTAATTTCTTTATTTTAACGGATACTTTCCATATGTCAAATTTATGGGATTATTTCCCTAATTTGTTTATTTAATTAAAGGAAAAGATTTTAAGGAAAGACATTTTCTTAAAAACCAATTTTCTTATTTTAACCCTTTGGCTGCTTGATAAAATTAAAAGATGTTTAGAAAAATTCAACTAAAAAAAACCGAAAATGAAAAAAAAAAAAAAAAACAATTTTGAGATTTGTATGTCATTTTTCATTTTATAACATGTAGATAATTTATAAACAAAAAATTTAAACACTCATTGTATAAATATTAAATGATATTAATAAAAGGAACAATTTTTTGCAATAAAGTTCATAATTTTATTTATTAGTTTTAAAAGCCACGATCATGGCTCGCTGCACTTTAAAGGGAATGCCACGATCGTGGCTTGTTGCAGTCAAAGGGTTAAAGGAATTTTTCCCTAGCGTCAAATATGATTATTTCCTAAACTTTTTCCTTGAAAATAAAGAAAGATTTTGAGTGTATATTTAAAAGAATTATGGATGAAGATTGTTAGATTGATAGAATAACAGAAGATGAAAGAAATTGAGTGCTCCAACCAGCGAAATGAAAAAAATTTAGCACTGGTACCAGTGGGGTAAAAGAAATTCAGCACTCCAACATTCTTACTTTATATCTAGTTTTAGATGCTAAAACCGTACAACAAATAGATAAAAAATAAAATGGGAATGATATTAAAAAAAAAAAATACATAATTAGGCATTAGAAAAATTGTTATCACTTTTGTCGTTGTAATTTCTAACAAACTTTTTTTTTACGCATAACTTTGGAGCAATGAAGTTTTTTTTGTATAAAAGCTTTTGCTCGACTAAAACTGGTTTGCCTAAAACAGCAAGATCTGCTTCTTGTTTACTTTCAACAGTTGAAAACGAGTCACCCATATCAAGTAATTTCCATACCTCTTTCAAAGATGAATCACTCGATAAGGATATTAAATTATTGACAACTGAATTTGAAGTTTCTTTGAGTTCGTCTGAAATGCAATCTAAAAAATATAAAAATACAAACGTCACATTTTATTATACTTATTATGGAAGTATAAAATAGATTTGAAAGTTAATTAAACGAAAAGAATACCGAGCTCGTAACCTATAATTTGTAAAATTTTAACGGCTTTTTTTAATTTTAACTAGATAAAAATTTAAATGATTATTAAAAACAAAGATTAAGGGTCTTATTTACCAACTATATGATAAATAAGACCCTCAATCAAATTCCATGATATGACCACCACATAGCTGGTAAATAAGACCCTTAATCGAATTCCATGATATGATGTTTGAGTATTTTGTATAAAATATAGAAAAATTAAAGAAAAGAAACCAAAATAATATTTTCTAAATAAAGAAAAATTTCATTAGTAAGACAAGGTAATATCATGTTCTTTCGTAAATTCTTTTTTTATTCAACTTAAAGTTTTCAAAAAAGTTGTTCTTCATCGCTTTGCTGCCAGTATTTTTAATGATGGTTTAATGATTGGTTTAATGATTGGCAAACCAGCAATTATATTTTTAAATCGTATTAAGAGGACATCTAAAAAGTACGTTCCCAGTAAAATCACTAATTTAAGACCCTCCCTACCCCTTTGTACGCACCTATATGCTTTAAATGCGCCTCCTTTGGTTTATAAAACAAAAGGTTACAAGCAGAGTTACTAGACATTTTAGGGGGGTTAAACTTACACCTTAACTATACTTCTGTGATATTATTAGCCAATACTATTGCGCATTAAATATATTTTTCCAAACAAACCTTGGGGTTCTTTATTTAAAAAAACTCCGTCTCCGTCACCGTGTCCGTCTCTCAAAACATTTCGATTTTTTTGATTCTCTAAACTTTCTGAAAGGTTCGATTTCGGCGAATTCGCGAGAGCTGATGAAACTTTTAGATCTACCGATGTAACTACATTTGCTTGTTTTTGCAAATCTGGCAAACTTTGCAAAAGAACTTGTTTTTGACGATTAATTTCACCGCAATTTTCTAACGATCGGTAACCTTCTTCAAGATTTTCTTAAAAAAATTATTTTAAATCAATAAAAATAAAAACTATTTCTAACATGTATTACATCTTATTACTTTATTCTTTTTAAAAGAAAACTATTTTCAAAACATTACCTTGTAGAGATTTAAAATCAGCTCGAAGCCGATTACTATTGTTTATCATTTTTGCTCTTTCAATCAACAAGTTCTTAATTCGATCAACTGCCAACTTTAACTTCCATTTATACTTACAAAACTCCATAGAAGAACAATGCTGGTTAGGACAAACTATAAAAAAATGTAAAATATAAAACTTTAATATACTGCAAGTACTTAATGTTATAAAAAAATAGCTATTTAAATTATTAAATAAATGAATAAAATTAGGCAACTAATTTAAAAAAGAAAAGGAATTAATTTAACCTAGAAAACATGATTTGTTTAAATTTAACAATATTTTTGATTAGATTTATAAAATTTAGTTACAAGTAATTTTTAAGTAAAAAGATATTACAATCTTTCAAGATTCAATTCATACCTTTAGTATAATCAAGTTGCTGATTTTCTGCCACTTTTCCAAAAACCGTTTGAAAATCAGACAGCTAAAGAATATTTAATTCTCGCACAATAAGCATACTAATATAAATTAAATATTATTACTTTATTTACCAATACAACTAACATATTACACTAACACCTCTCTCTTTCCTAGTGATCGCGGCGACGGCAAGGAAGAGAGATTTTTTTAAAGATATTATTACTCTTTAAAATACTTAAAAAACAAATATTTACAAATATAAATTTTAATTGTTAATTAAATTTTTTTTTAAATAATTAAATGATATGTATTTATATATTTAAACTAACGTTTAAAAATCAACATAATTATAAATTATTAATTTTGTAAATGCATTGTAAATAATTAATGTCAAAAAAATTATTAATTTATAAAAAGTCTCATTGCATTTAAAACATCAAGTTATTCAGCAAAAAAAAAATATCAAAATGAAAAAAAAATGAAGAAAAAGACTAAAAAATATGAACGTGATTTTAATTGCCGTTTTTGTTTTTACTTTAAACGTTATAGCATGTCAGTTCATTCTATCTATAGGAATACTTTTACCAGAACAAAGTTTAGATGAAAATTATATATATAATTTAACAGTTGAAATGGCTGTAAAAAATTTTAACGTAACAGGTAGCGCACTCAAATACAACGTAAAAAAACTCAACTGCGAAGATACTGTTTTAGTTACAGGTACCCACTTTTTAAAAATCTTTTCTCTCTCACACACATAATTTATGTTTAATATTTTCTAGCTTGATAACTGCTTTTAGGTATTGTTTAAGATTAGAGATACCCTAATAAAACTAACAAATACAGCTTTTTCAATATTAATAAACATTCACGGTTTTTGTGAGTTACCGGCATTCTGTTTATTAAAAAACAATACTGATTTTGAGAATACCTTGTCAAATGTTCTCAATACCGGTAATATTTTTCAAAAAACGGCATAACAATGTTTCACATTAACTGTGACTGTTTGTTGACAATGTTGTTTAGTATAGTTTTAATAAGTATAAAAAAACTATAAACCGATTTGATGCAAATAAAACATAGAAATTACACAGGTACTATAATAGTTTAATAGTGTATATAAAAATATTTCTAGTCAAAACTTAATGCGAGTAATATAAACATTGAACAATATTATTTAAATATTTTGAAGCTATTTTTTCTATTTAAAACAAGATTACTTATCTGATGGATAAAAATTATTATCTTCCTACAAATTCCAAATTACGTACAAATATATTTACGTTAACTTAAAAAGAACTTCACATAAGTATTTAGTAATTAATTCAGACAAGTAATTAACAACAGTAGAAAAGATACTCAAATATTACACAAGTAGCCCTCGAAATTATGGTCGGCATTCGGCAATGCCGACATTCAAGTGTCTGAGTTTGGCAATTTTTTGCCGACATTATTTCTATTTTGTTTGGAGAAAGTTTGGTGTTAAAAAGGCGTATTCACTTCTCTCCATTAAAGTAGCGAAGAATTTGAGTGACCGTTAAAAAAAAAAATGTAAATGGGCAGTTTGAAAACGGAAGGAAATAAATTGTACTTTTATTTTGCTGTTAAGTCTCCGCTTATTAACCACTCCGTTAATATCTTCAATTTAATTTTTCTTCATTAGCCAGCTCTGTTAAATAGTTTTCGTGCTGTTTTTTCATCGTACCTAAACGTTACGATGCCAACAGATGATATTTTTTAATTAGTAAATCGTAACCGAAGATTTTCTTAAATTTAATTAAAACACGCTACAATACAAATTCTCAGAATTTGTATTAACGGTATATTTAGTTTCTTTTTTTTTAATTTCACGTTTATGCCTCCGCACTCGTATGGGTTACACATTTTCTCATAACTCTATTTTCTTCAATTTTTTCAAACTGATCAAAGTATCAAAACTGTGAATTTTTATTGGAACACATTTCAAGAAATCACGATCTTCTTTATTATAATATTTTATTATTCCCTAAAAACTAAAAAATCAATATGTCAAAAAACATCTAAAAATAATTCTTAAATAATATTTAATATAATTTGTTACAATTTTGGTTTAACTAGGTATGGTTTGAACAGAGAAAGTTTCAAGTAACTTTCACAGAGTTTTGTCTTAGACCAAAAGCTTAGACAAAGCTTTATTGCTCACCCATTTTTTGTTTTGTTAAAACTTTTTAGCAAAACAATCAGAATATATTGCAAAAAGGTAACTGATTTATATGGATAATTAAATAGCTATTTTTTTATAGTGTGAGAGAATTTTTCAGAAGAAAATTTGATATTTACTTTGATATTTTTGGCATTAACGACGTCAGATGGATAGTTATTCCAAATATTAACAACCCTGAGGGAGAAAGAATATTTACAGATATTGAGTTTACAATTTAGCTTGCATAATTTCAAGTGTAAATATTAAATTGTTTAATAAAAAGAAACTTGATATATTTAAGCAAACTTAATTAGCGCAAATTAACCAGCGTTATTTTGTGAAAACAACGCTAGAGATTTCACAAACTTTTATTCCAACTTTTTAATATGGACCGGTGGCGGCTACCCGGACAATAAACTTATATATGCATGGGTGTATGTATTTATTCATGTACTTGCCTATTTGTGTATTAAAGTAAATACATATGTGCTTTTATACATAAATAGACACATAAATGTTATACACATATATATGTATTTAGCTACATATATAACAGTACCTGCTTTAAAATTAAATGCCAAATACATTACATTTCTTGTCATTGTAACATTTGTTTTAAAATTTAATAAGTGTATTAATAATATTTATTAAACGTTTTTACAATAAAAGCGTAAATCATATAAATATGATATCGTATAAAATACTGTTTATTTAGCATAGAAGTTAACTTATTTGTTCACAGTTGTTTTGTTTGAATACCATTTTTAATTATTATTAACATTATAGAAAATTTCTCTGATAGCAGTTTAACTATAGGGTATAGCAGGGTTAGATTTCGACAACAACAATCTTTTGTGTTAACTGAATTTGCTCTTGCTGTTAACCTAACGGAGAACATGAGAATACAAGTTTATTTTAGTACTTCTTTAAAAACTGCTGTTTTACTTTTAATCAGCTGATAGCTTACTGCAGGGTTTAACGGAGAGAAGTGAAAACGGGTGCTGATGCTGACCAAAAATAGTTTAAGGTTGGCAATAAATTGTGTTTTCTTTCCTAATTCCGAGGGCTGAATAAAGTAATTGTATAACTACTTTTTTGATCAGCTATTTGTGCTTTAACTTTAAATATTATGTCAAAATAGCGTATTATTGATATTTTAAAAGTTTAAACAAAATGCTGCTGCTTGTAATGTTACATATATGAAACTTATAATTAAAATATATAAATAGACTAACAATAGGAACAGAATTTAAATAAAACACCTTTAAATAAAATACTGCATCATACATTAATTATAAAAAACTTTTTCCCCTTAATTTTTCACTTGGTAAAACACCTTTGAAAAAAAGTGTAAAACTTTTGTTTACGTATTTGAATTATCTTATTAAGAATTTAAAACTAAAAGAATGGGGTAAAAACCCTTGCACATAAAATAATTGTGCAAGAAAAACATTATTGGTTTATTTACACCTAAGAAAAAATAGACGTTTATTAAAATGGCTGACAAACTAAATTTTTTTTATATTTTATTAATTTACTTTAACATTTATTTGGTCCTGCTTTTTCTTTAATTACCTAGCAAGTAATTCGGCATTGACTCTATTTGAAAACTGATTTGATTATTGTCAATGTTAAACCATGATTTAACATTTCGTCAAACATTCTTTTTTTGTAAATAATCTATTACCTTTATTTTTTCTAATAAAGTCCATAAATGACCTATTAGATTCAAATCATGGCCATTCTAAAACATTTATGCGATTTTCATCAAAAATTACTTGTATGATTAATTCTGTTCTTACTGTAAATGTCTACATATAAACCACATACAGTGCTTACTTAAAGTATCAGTACCAAGTCAGACAAGTCAGACAATTTTTAACTGCAAGTTACCTGCTTAATTATCTAAGTGCTAAATTATCTGAAGTATAATTCTTATGCAAAACCCCAACTTGATTTCAAGTAAGAGCTTGTAAATCTTGGATGGTAATCTTCATAGTGTTGATATTATAATAAAAGCTTATAAGTAAGAGCTTGTAAATCTTGGATGGTAATCTTCATAGTGTTGATATTATAATAAAATCTTGGATGGTAATCTTCATAGTGTTGATATTATAATAAAATCTTGGATGGTAATCTTCATAGTGTTGATATTATCATAAAATCTTGGATGGTAATCTTCATAGTGTTGATATTATAATAAAATCTTGGATGGTAATCTTCATAGTGTTGATATTATAATAAAATCTTGGATGGTAATCTTCATAGTGTTGATATTATAATAAAATCTTGGATGGTAATCTTCATAGTGTTGATATTATAATAAAATCTTGGATGGTAATCTTCAAAGTGTTGATATTATAATAAAATCTTGGATGATAATCTTCATAGTGTTGATATTATAATAAAATCTTGGATGGTAATCTTCATAGTGTTGATATTATAATAAAATCTTGGATGGTAATCTTCAAAGTGTTGATATTATAATAAAATCTTGGATGATAATCTTCATAGTGTTGATATTATAATAAAAATAATCATGATCTGCAAACAAGAAATAAAATTCAATGCAAGAAATTGTGAAAAATTGCTCTTTTCAAAAATGTCAGATTTAAATAAGAAAATATTGAAAGCTGTCCAATAATAATAAGTCTAATAGCTGTCCAAATAGCATCACATAGTGGTTGTGAAACAACCACTATGTGATGCTATTTGGACAGTAAAATAAAACATGGGCAGTAAAATAAAAAATATATAATAATTAACTAAGCTAAAACTATTTTTTTCCTGAAAAATACTTTTTTTTATTATTATGCTGTTATTTTGTTTTAGGCAAATCAAGTGAGTTTTTTTACCATGAAAATGTAGATGTAATTATTGGACCAGATTGTAAAAAAGGGTGTGATATAACAATGAATGGTGCAGAATATGTTGGTGCAATGATGATTTCTTATGATTGTACAGATTATGATAACGTGCAGAGTAAAAACTTTGCACGTGTCAAACCATTTATTGACAATGCTGCCATAATAGCGGAATACTATTCAACTTTAGCTAACCAATACAATTGGAAAATATTAGGTATTTTATTCTCAAGCAATCTGTTTCAAAATATAGCCATTGAACTAAAGGAGCTGTTGGTTGCTCAGGGTTTTACTGTAAGAGAAATTGATATATTGAACTACGAGAATATTAGTTATGTTTTAGTTGATGTTGAAAATAGTATGAGAAGTAAGGATTCTTTTTTATATTCAAATTTGCCTAAAAATCTTCATGTTTTATTTAATGCATTTTAAACTAACAAAAAAAAAATAAAAATTGTTTAAAAATTTTACTTTCTAGTTATACTAACTCTTATTTGTGAGGAAGATGTTATAAAGTTTATGGTTGAAGCAAAAAAAAAAGGTTGGCTCAATAGTAGCTTGTATGGTATAATTAACGTAAACTTTGATCCTATCGCAGCAGAAAAAGCCAAAATAAAACTTAAGATTGATGAAGATTTAGATAAACTTATGATTGGCACATTTCAAATGAGAGCAAGTACAGTAGAAGATGATCAAACAGAAGAATATTTAAATTTCAAAAATATTATCACAAACAAGTACATAGAAAAGTTTGGAGCACAAAATTGGGACGGATTAAATAAAGTAATTATTTCAGCCTCCTACATTTACGATTCTATTTTATTGTACCTTAAAAATGCAGAACGACTTGTGGAAATGAAACATCAGCAATACATTGAAAACAGTATTAACCAATTAAAAAAAGAATGGTATAAAAGCATCAGTAAAAATACAACTTTGTGTAAAATATTTAGCGTTACACAAGAAAATAAAAGCTGCACTGTGTGTAATACTGAATGTGTTTTAAGCACTGGATGTTATAATTGCACAAATTCAAGTTTTCTCACATTTAATACAAATCTGATTAACTACACAGCACTGGAAGCAAATTTTAATATAGCAGAACTGTTTGAAAACTATTCAATGATATCTATGGAGATCACAAATACCTCAACAATTGGTAAGAATATAAAAAAATATTTAATCCATTTTCTTTGTAATCCAGCCTTGTAAAATCCTTAATACAGATTTTTAAACAAATATTATCTGCTTTTCATTATCATTTTACCAACCTTTTTATACAATAAATATCTCAATATCTGTATACACTTTATACATTAAATATCTCAAATAGTTAAATTATTAGTTATTTATAAAAAAAAAGTTCTCATAAACCAATAAGAACATATCTTATATATAATATAAGAACATATCTTATTTATAATATAAGAACATATCTTATTTATAATATAAGATATGTTTATATATTATATATAAGATATGTTCTTATTGTTTAATCTTATATATAAGTTCAATTTGGTTAATCTTATATAAAAGAACATATAGTATATATATATATATATATATATATATATATATATATATATATATATATATATATATATATATATATATATATATATATATATATATATATATATATATATATGTTATATATATATATATATGTTATATATATATATATATATATATATATATGTTATATATATATGTTATATATATATATATATATATATATATATATATATATATATATATATATATATATATATATATATATATATATATATATATATATAAATATATATATATATACTATATGTTCTTATATATAAGATATATATATTATATATATATGTTCTTATATATAAGATATATATATATTATATATATATATGTTCTTATATATAAGATATATATATATATATACATATATATAAAACATATTGTATAGTGTATGTGATCATCTAAAGCACAAAAACAAAGTTTAAAGCTACAAAACTGTGCTTTTCTCAAAATTTTAGTCTTTTAAACTAGTTATGGTAAATGCTATCACAATTAGTTTGTGGTAACTGGAAGCTTTCAATTAATTATGATTTAAGGATAAGATATATATAAATAATTTTTTTTAAAAAAAAGAAACAATAAAATATTGTTATTTACAAGTCTTCAAAAACAAAACAGAACAGACTCAAAATATTCAGAAATCTTTCTGTAAAATATGATACAGCAGAATTATATGATAAAGAGACAAAGCATTCTCTGAATTTTCTAAAAATTTTTAAGGATAAAACAAACAAACAAAGGCTATCAAGACACACACACACATATGTATAATATATATGTACAAATTAAAACTACACGATTTTCTTTAATAGCATGAAACTTTAAGTTTCATGCTATTGAAAATCATCAAGTGAAATACAAATATATTACTCAATATTAAACTACTCAATTTAAGTAGACCAAACTAATTGCCTGGAATTAATTTGATTGTCACTTCAAATACTTTAGTGAGTCATTGAATAAATTGTTTCTTTTCCATCCAACCCAACTTGGATGTTAATACGGTTTTTGGTGGTCTCCCTACACGCCAGTCTTTGTACAGAGGTGATATTTGTTGTGCACAGGCTTATGATGGTTGCCTTTGGTATGTTGTAAAACTTTCTACAAATTAGCAAACTTTACAATTAGCAAAATTTACAAACTTTCTACAAATTGAAAAAAACTTTTTTTTTTACTAGTGAGAGATTTCTAAAGTTTGCTAAGACAAAAATAAATTTTTTAAAACAATTTTTACACCTTAAATTGAGCACAAAATTCTCTACAATACGGTGCCTCACATTTTTAAAGATGTTTTAGCTTTTAATAAATGTAAAAGAAACAAAATTGTTAAACTGTTCACTTTTTCTCGTTTACTCTTACCCCAGTTTACTCTATTTAAAATTATTTTTCCATTATTCTACATACATTAGAAAAAATTCCTTCTGTTTTGATTGTTGGAAAACTAACTTTTTTGCCATATAATTTTCAACTTCATTACTAATCGATAACATTCATAAGCAAAAATTGAAACCATTGCCATTAAAAACTTAGAGCTTTGCCCAAACGTTAAATTATCAAGTTTACTGCAAGTATGAAATATTGCATTAATGTGATGTGAAGGTTATTATATTATTTATTATATTACATTTAGGTTACAAACATATACTTTTTAAGTACTATGAAACAATACATATGTCTCTATATATATATATATACCTATATATAGATATATATATATATATATATATCTATATATATATATATATATATATATATATATATATATATATATATATATATATATATATATATATATATATATATATATATATATATATATATATATATATATATATATATATATATATATATATATATATATATATATATATATATATATATATATATATATATATATACATATATATATATATATAGAGGGTAAAGCAGGGCAAGTTGAGCTTGATGAAAGTTGGGTAATTAAAATATTTCAAAAACTACGCATTGCATGACAAAACATCTAATGAATGAAAGTTAGGAAATTAGAACAGTAACACATTGTGTAACAAAAGGTTGTTGAACAGCAGTCGAGTTGAATGCACAGACACTTTTTCTTTTTCAAACCAAAAAATATTTTGCTATTTTTCTCTTGGATGTTTATACATTTTTTTAAATCTGGCTTCACTTAAGTGTTGATATTTTGCCAATTTACCAGACCTTTGATCATAATCAGCCATTTTTTCATAACTCTTAATGTTCTATTCAAAACTTGTAGAGGTAAGTTTTATCTTGTCTAGTAGAGGTAAAAGCAGCTTAAAAAATTAAACTGAACTATCAAACACAAAGAAATAACTTTGATAAAAAAGAATTTTACACTACTTTAAAAATATATATTTAAAACTAGTTATTTTTAAATTGGGCTTCAAAGTTTAATATAATTGTATAAAGTAATAATTTTTATATTTTATGACACTTTATTACTATTTAATTTTTTTTCTCTTATCTTACTTATGTCATTAAAGTGTGTAAAATAAAAAGATTATAAATCATAGACACTGTCAATACAACTGTCGTGTATTGATGGTTTATTGAAGTTCCATATCATGCTTATTTATTTATTTGTTGGTTAAACTAACCCCATTAGGGCAGGTTAAGCAACTCTATAAAATTTAGACCTCAGACTTATCAAAAACTATACTTTTTCTTAATCAATTTTTAGCAGATTAAAAAGAAATCAAACTTAAATCAAAATAAATACAAGAAAAAAATAAATAATAAAAATCGTTTTAAAAAAGTTTTATTTTAGGTTATTGTTTTTATTATATAAATTGATACACCTCTAAATTTGAATTTGATGTTAGTGATGAAGTTTTAAATTTGATCATCTACTACATATAGTCTTACCAAAGTCATGTACATAACAATTTAAACTACATCTACCAAAGTGATGTACATAACAATTTAAACTACATCTACCAAAGTCATGTACATAACAATTTAAACTACATCTACCAAAGTCATGTACATAACAATTTAAACTACATCTACCTAAGTCATGCACATAACAATTTAAACTACATCTGCCAAAGTCATGTACATAACAATTTAAACTACATCTACCAAAGTCATGTACATAACAATTTAAACTACATCTACCAAAGTCATGTACATAACAATTTAAACTACATCTACCTAAGTCATGCACATAACAATTTAAACTACATCTGCCAAAGTCATGTACATAACAATTTAAACTACATCTACCAAAGTCATGTACATAACAATTAAAACTACATCTAATAGTAATATAGTCTATTGTATTAAATTTTTCAAATTTGTTTTTTACTTAAAATTTAATTTATGTAATGCAAATAATAATGATAAAATCTTTTTAGGAACAACTGGAGCAATTAATATTGCACAAGGTGGATCACGTATACCTGATGCTTTACTAATAAATGTACTTGATAATTATAAGCTTTTATACATTTATAGAGAATCTGATTTAACTAACCTTGCCGAAGCAATAAAAAATTTTACAAAGTATATAAGGTGGTTAGGAGAGCATGCCCCAAAAGATCAACCTAAATGTGGATTTGACACACAGTGCAATGAAAACAAAATAGACAAAAATAAAATATACTTAGCAATAGGCATTTGTATTGCATCTATAATCACTTTGATTATCACATGGAAAATATATAAAGTGCAAAAATATGAAAATGATATAAGCAGTAAAGCATCTTTTATAAACATTGAAGATATAAAAAGCACTATTATTTTGAAGTCTCATATACATATAGGTGAAATTCTAAAAGAAAAAGGTGAAGTTAATAAAGCAAATGGCATTAAAAAGTTGCAAGCAATATATCAAAATAAAACAATTATGCTTAAAAAGTTACCGAAAGAACGTATCTTTATAACAAGAGATATCTCAATTGAGTTAAAAGAAATGAGAGACTTGGAACATTCAAATCTTGCAAAGATCATAGGTGTTACTATACAAACGCCTTATATATGCATTGTTCAGAATTATTACAAAAAAGGTAGTTTATATGATGTACTTTTAAATGAAGATATCCAGCTGGACTGGGTGTTCAAAAATACTTTTTTATTAGATATAGTAAATGGAATGTGTGCATTGCATGAAAGTCCAATAAAGCTACACGGACACTTAACATCTAAAAACTGTTTAATTAATCATAGATGGGTACTGCAGATTTCAGATTATGGATTGACAGAATTCAGTGCATGCAACCGTTCAATTAAAGCAGAATCTATTGAAAAAGAACAAGGAAAATACGAGTCTTTATTATGGACAGCACCAGAAAATATAAATATACCACAGAAAGTTAGCAAAGCAGGTGATGTATACAGTTTTGGAATTATTATTGCTGAAATTATAAACCGAAAAGCACCCTATTATGAGCACAGTGAATTACGACCAAGTGATATTATTCATTACGTAAAAAAAAGATGCATACCTCCATTTCGCCCACACGTTACCTTACAGACTGGGTTAGAACCTAAACTGCTTGATATCATGAACAGTTGCCAAAGTGAATTAGCAGAGGAAAGGCCTACATTTAAAGAGGTAAAACTCTCATTAAAAACTATTTTTGGAGATCGAACAGATATACTTGATAACATGATAGAAATGATGGAAAAATATAGTTCAGACCTTAATAAAGCAGTGAAAGAAAGATCAGAAATGTACAAAAAAGAAAAAATCAAATCAAATGAGCTACTTTACAGATGTGTACCTGCACCAATTGCAGAAGAGTTACTTGAAGGATCCACCATTGAGCCGCAACATTTAAGTTTGGTTTCTTTACTGGTTGTCAAGTTAGAAAATTTTAATAAAATATGTGAAATGCTATCACCTCAAAAAGCAATTAATGTAATTAATGACTTTTATAAAATGGTAGAGAAAGTGCTATTGGCAGATGAATGCAAAAGCATCTTCAAGTTGATTTCTATTCGAGAAGAAATTGTTTTATGTTCTAATATAAAAGGATTTAAAATCACTTCAGAAGCAGCTGATCTGGCAAGAATTGCAGTTAAAATATCTATAGAATTGTCTACTTATCAGTGGAGATACATTAAACACAGTAACATAAAGTTATCTATGGTTATTCACTCAGGTAATCATTATCACAAAAATAATCATATAAATATATTATATAAATTTATTTATAAGAATGTCATGGTTTTTTTTAATTTTAATTGAGAATATGAAATAAAAAAAACCTGATATTAAAGGATTGATCATGTGATCATTCCATTAATATCAGGTTAATTATTTATTGCTTTTAGAAAAGTATAATATATATATGTTACAATTCCAGGTTCTGCAACAGGAGTTGTAATCGGAAACAAAGTTCCTGTTTACAGCATATTTGGAAATATTATAAACTATGCTCGATCACTATCTGATTATGTACCTATAAATACAATTGTTGTAACAGAAAATACAACAAATTTATTAAGAAATGATAAGAATTATGTCTTTGAATATGCAGGCGAAAACGAGGTAACTTAAATACTTATTTAATTTTAGTATGTCTTATAATATGAAAGTGAAAAAAGACATCATTGTCAACTTTGCTAACTTTATCTTTTTTAAAATTTCACAATTTTTACTATAAAAAATGTAATAAAAATAAAAATTTCTGTTCAGATTAAGGTTGGGATAGGAGCCAAGTAAAATAATAGTAAATAGACACAAAACTGTTTTTATCTTTATCTGTGTACAAACGATGTATACATGTACAACATACATACATACATACATTACATACATACATACATACATACATACATACATACATACATACATACATACATACACACATACATACATACATACATACATACATACATACATACATACATACATACATACACACACATACATACATTGTTACATGCATCATTTGTCATATTTAGTCATATGCATTTTAAACACATGATTTCTTTTTTGTTTTATTTGTTTATTTATAAATAAAAATCAGTCAAGTTAACTAAAAAAAATGATTTAAAGTCATTTAATGAGTTTAATGTCCTTATATATACATTATATTATATAAAATACATACATCGCCAAACATGTATTTTTTTAGCAAGTATGTAAAACACACTCAATTTAACACTTAACTTTTTGTATGGTAAACGATTGGTTAACATTATTTGGTGCATTTTTGTTCGAATATTTTGGACACTTTTTGCATTTTTTAAAATTTTTTCTCTAATGCGTTGTATGGATTGACCCTACAATAGGGTGTCCCAAAAACATACTTTTTTTCCTCAGGATACCACTCAAGCTTTTCCCATTCTCTGAAGTCCCTTAAAAATCAACATTAAAAATTTTTTTTTTAAAAGTGATATCTGAAAACTTATCAAAATTTTATGTCAATTTAGGATTAGTTTGTAAAGAAATTTTTTCTTATCTTTTTTTTTTAATTATTAAATTCATTGATTATACCTAAGTTAAATAATAATATTATTAGTCTGATGTATGTTTTTATAAGCATATTTATTTTTGAAACAGGTTCAAGTATGCTTACACAAAAAGTTTTAAGAAGCTCACAAATATCCTAAAGTATCCTATCAATCAGTTGCCCATGAAAATATTTATCTAAGCATATTTTAAATGCCCTAGCATAGGAAACATGCTTAGATCCATACAGTTTGTCAAATCTCTAAGGTCTTTGAGGTTTAAATCTATTTGTTTTAATCTAAATTAACCTGTTGTAGTTTGCTCTCAAAGTTTTCCAGGCAAAGATCTTATCTGCAAGGGTGGATTATGAAAGATCCCAATTGAAGTTGTGTCACTGGTCTTGTAATGGATGTTTGAAATAAGGCTGATTTTGGAGAACTCATCATTTCTGGAACATAAACAAAAAAAAAAGTAACCAATACATAGGAAATTATGTAACTTAAGAAATTTTTTTTCATAATATTAAAGAATAAAATTCTAAAGCTAATATTAAGTACTGCAAACCCATCTATATAAGAAATTAAAACTGAAATTTCAGCATTGATATATTTACAAAATGCAGAAAGATTTCATATAGAAGAGTACAAACTCTTAAAAAAAACTTATGGGGAAGTTTAAAAAGAAGATGCAATCACATCAACTTGGTTCTCAGAAGGCACGTTGTAGCACCACTGTTTCTAATACTCGAGTGTTTGTTTGCACCATTCTCATTAATATTTTCAACATCCTATTTCTCTGATTTCTCAACAGTTGATACATGTTGGAGTTACACTTCTTTTATTTTATGGAAGCTATTACTGTTGAGAAAACAAAACAACCAAGAAGAGCACTATATGCAGAAGACCTGACCAAGACTGCAGAAGACCTGCCAAGACTGCAGAAGGCCTGGTCAAGCATCAAGGAAGAGGTGGTCAAGATGGAGGAGATCAACAGGTTTGATTGGAATGAGCTACAGGTTGGATCATCCCAGCACAACATTACAAGAGAGACCTTAAAGTTTGGCATAAAGGCATTGACCACAAAGAGATTTAATAGGGAGGGGGGGGGGGTGAGACTACAAGTAACTCTGTGAACTAAATGATTTCTATTTAGGAGGAGATATACTAGGGTTTCATTTTTATTAAAAATTTCCTGTCATGAAGCCAGGTATAGTTAAAGCATATTACCAATAATTTTTATTTTTAGTGGAGAGTAAATTTTAAATATTTTTTTTATATATTTAATAATGATAATTTATTCTTAAGGTTTATGGCAAATGCTTTACACCTGTTGGTCCTGTGAATGACTGATAAAGTAACCCAGGTGATGAACAAGGAAGAGAAGAAGATGGTAAAGGCAGTATTATTTGTTTCTATATGCTATGGACCCTGGTTCCTAAAAAGCCTATATGACAAAAAATTCAACTTCAAATGACTTAGCTGCCTTAAAGTCATTGTTTGAAATATGGGACTACTACCTAAAACTAGGACAGGCCCTTTTTGTCAGCATGCAGCAACATGCTTGTACTTAACAGAACAGTTATATTGGTCCTAGCTGACAATTATGTTAAAGAGAAGGTAAAGAAGAAAATGTTTTGAAAAAATCAACATTTGCTTAAAAATTTATTGCAATCACCAATTGAAAATGATTAAGACGGACGTGTGGATAAGTTGCTATTATTGACTTGGTAGATTGGCATAGTTGATTTAGAGCTGGTAAAACTTGTGAACATATACAACAGAAGTGTGAACAACTGCGAATAGATTGAATAGATTTCGTTGTTGAAATATTTCTGTAGTTTGCATTTCAGATTTAAAAAGTTTTGATTGAAGCTGAACAAAAGCATTCTTAGATAAATTACTGCATAGTGAGTTGGTATAATATTTGTCCAATACTTAGTGCCAAACTTGGCAATACACACCAACATCTAAAGGCTGAAGAATGCGTGACATGAGTTGATAAGCATACGAGCTTGACATTGTTTTTAATACATAGAAGAGAAACCTGATATCTAATGTGTGTGCTGTGGCCATTAAGTACTAAAATGGGTAACAGGAATTTTTTTAGGAAGCTGGAACTAGCTGGAATTTTTGTATAGTATGCATTGAATGAGTTGTTTGTTTTCAAACCAACCTGATGGTGTTCATTCTGTAGTTTTTGAGCTTTTTGTACACTAAATTACTACCAGGTATTTGGCTTTTAAAATTATTAACTGTTAAAGTGCAACTCCAGCAGAATTTATGCAGAATTTTCTTCTGTGTAGTTTATATTTTGATTATTTCTGGTTATTTAAGAGGATGCTTGGAACTACGTTTGCAGAAAAATGTTTCATTACTCTTGTCACTATTGAAGCCAATTTCAAAAAATTTTTATACATTTGATGCAGAGTATTTATCAATATTTGCTTCAAATAATTGAGTCTTACATGTATTGAAATATTTACCTTCAATTTTGTTACCTTCAATACAAAAAGCTGCGTTTGGTAGCAAAATTTTAACTGCAGTTATCACGCTTAATCGATGTTTCAAATGTTTGATGAAAGCATAGTACCGTGCTTTGCCTGGTTTATCGTTAATAAATAAATTAGTTTGTTTTGTATGTTGTTAATAACTGGCAACACAATCAAAAACTTGCTTGCTGGTTCTATCGAAAACCCAATTAGCAAGTTTAACAAATATCTTAAATAATTTTTTTAATTCAGTAAAAGTACTTAAAATAATGACAATGCCAGCACCAATAGAGCGCGTAAGGTTCTTTATTCTGAACAATAAAGTTGCCTTTGGAATGTCATAAATGATGCTTTACATAATAATAAACCACCAGACTTTATTTTTAAAAATGCAGCATTAAGTTGCTCATCAGTGTAAGTTATTATTTTTTGTTGTTGATTGTGTGAATTTTTTTTCATTGACTAAGATAAAGTGATTATTTGTTTTTTTTTTCAACGTTTTTGCTTCAAACAAGGCTGCAAGCAAGCACTATTAGAATTGGAAGTTACCGGAAAAGAAAAGATGAAGTTATTGAGCAAGATAACGATTGACAAACAACTTAAAAGATTGCAAATTATATGAATCAGAAAAGCAAGATGAAGGAAGATAAAGCAAGATGAAGGAAGCGAATTCCAAAGAAGTTCAAGGCAAAAAACTAGAGGAATAAGAGTTTTTGGAGAACTTAGGATTAGTCACAGAAAAAGAATGAGATTTAATTGAATGATAAGTAACACGAGAATGAATTTTAGTAGATGGCACAAGAGACTCTTTAGAGCAATTCTCATTATAGTATTTGTAAAAAAGAGAAAGAGAAGCAGCATTACGACTATGTGATAATGGCTGGAGGTTGGCTGCAAGAGCAGGTCTGACTATGTTTACAATGCTTTTTGTACCTTGTCTAAAAGAGAAAGGGCATCATTAGAAGATCCGCCCCAGATATGGTAATAGTATTCCATACAAGGCCGAATTTGAGATTTATAGAGATAGATAATAGAATCCAGAGTAAGAAAGTGTCGAGCTCGATAAAGAGATGCAACTTTAGCAGAGGCTAATTTTGCAATGGATTTGATATATGGTTTCCAAGAAAGATCAGAAGTAAGAGTTAATCCTAGAAGATGAAAGGTAGATGACTCATTAAGTACATTACCATTCATATATATAGGATGATCTAAATTATTGCGGTAACGATTGCCTGAAAAAAATTGGGTTTTATCTTAAGTTTACCAGCCACTGTGAGCCCTATGCTGTAGCAGAAGTGAGATCCTTTTCAAGCTCAAATTCCCCCTCCAAGCGTTCAGAGAATGTTGGCTTCTTATCAAGACAAGAATAAATGGTAGTATCATCAGCAAACAATGCCATCTTAGATGTGAGAATATCTGGAAGATCGTTAATGTAAATCATAGAGTATAGGGCCAAGGATATAACCTTGAGGAACCTCTGAAGTTAAAGGATGTAAAGAAGAGTGCTACCCATCAAGGGCAATTTTAAACTACGATTGGTATGGAAGGAATCAATTATCTTAAAGATGTTACCTGATACACTGTAAGAAGAGAGCTTATGGAGAAGACCAGCATGCCAAACTTTATCAAAAGCTTTAGAAATGTCAAGAGCGATAGCCTTAACCTCTCCACCTCTCCAAAAAACCTATTAGTTATTAGTGTTAGCAAATTGGTTGTAGAGCGAGAAAATTAAAATCTATATTGATGATCAGAAAGTAAGTAATTAGATTCAAGATGAGAGATTAGGAGTTTGTTAATTAAAGATTCAAAAACCTTGCTTATGATAGGAAGAAAACTAATGGGATGGTAGTTAGATGAGTCAGATTGCTCTCCAGAATTTTTAAAAATAGGGACAACAGATGCTGCTTTCCAGCATGCCGGAAAAAAAGACTCCGATAAGGACTTGTTGAAAGTATAGACGACAGCTCTGGTGCAAGACCATAACAGGTATGTTGTCTGAACCACAAGCTGTAGAAAAGTTTGAGCAGGAAATCACTTTAGATACAGAAGCTGGAATAATACAAATGTCAAGCAATGGATCAACCATTTGATTTGTCAGCAATAAAAGGTAGAACACAACTAGTGGAATCAAGAGATGGTATTGATGAAAAGTTCTAAGCAAACAATTTAGCTTTGTCTTTAGGTAAAAAAATCTGAACCATACAAGAGAGGATGAATAACAGATTTGCTCTTATTATTGATACTGTTCAAGATTTTCCAGAAGTCATGAGAGCCTAATTTTTGAGATTAAATACAAGATTTTATGACCTGAGAATTGCGGGCTTCGGCATTAGACAAAAGCCAGCTTGAACCCAAGAAGTTATGTAAGAAGCACATTTATCACCAGGAAGACGAAAGATTTCTACCCAAAGGCCATCAGGAAGGAAATCACAGAAAGAGTCCTAATCAGCTTCAGAATCAGAAACTGAGCACTGACTAGGATCAGAAACAAAGCATAGGTCAATTAGAAAAGGTAAACGATTCAGGTTGCCTGGAAAACAAGTTGGATAGTTGCCTATTTGAGTTAGAGATTGAGAAAGACAAAAGTTGTGGGCCTTAACGCCAGCAGTTTCACTAACACTAGAGCCAAGCCATTCATTGTGATGAGCATTAAAGTCACCAACAACAACGATATCAGTTGATGGATAAAGAGAGAGAGAGCTTTGTCAATTTGATCAGAAATAATATAGAAAAGAGTGCAGTCTTGAAATTAAGGAGAGCAATATAGAACAAAGAGAAAGGCAATAGTGTGAAGTGTTGCTAAACGAAAGCACATAAGAGTAGTCAGTGGATTCAAACCTAGTTTCCCGACAAATGGGTGAACTCTTACAAATGTAAATGCCCAAGCCAAGCATGTGACTATTGGAGTCTTTACGAATTAAAAAAAGATAACCATCAAAACTAAGATCACAAGATGAGACAACTGAACTCAAATTAGTCTCACAAAGAGCAAGTAGGTCTGGTGAACTTTGCAAGAAATAAGACTCAACAGAAGAAAAGTTTCTTCAAAGACCACGAATATTAGTGAATGATAGGTTTAGTGAACTTTGTGGTAACTGGTTTTTTGTGTTTTATAGTTTTTATTACTTTATTCATTTTTAAATTTGTTAAAGAACTTGACTCGAAACATAGATAGTACTTAGTACACTGTTTAATAGCCCGAGCAATTGCCTCATTACTATTAATAAACCCTCAGCCATAACAAAGGGCTCTAAATGTGGCCTCAACATTCCACACCAAAAGTACGAAATGGGACACCATCCATGCCCAACAAGGTACTGTTACTACTCTGATATTTTACAGCTGTTGATGGAATCAGCCTCTCTGAGAGCTACTGCAGAGTTCAGGAAAACTGACTTCCAGCTGGTCTCAGAACTATAAAACTGAGTTTTGGAGCTGTACCCTTATTAGGAGTTAATAGAATGAGTTAAATGAATGAGATAATGGAATGAGTTTTTTAATTAAGTTATTAGTTCATGTAGGTTACTCATATTTCTATAAGGAGTTGATGTCTAATTAAATTCTAAAAAACAAAAAAGAGTGAAATAATTATACAACTATATAAATTAAATAACAGTGTGTTTCATTAAACAGGAAATCTCTTTATTTCAGTTTTTTCTTCATAAATTTTTCTGGAACAAGCAAATTCAATTCTTAATTTTTAATTCCATAAGTAGATGGAGAGATAGTGAATAAGATTTAAAATAATTTACTCACGGTACCTTTTTTTAATTCATATTAAAATTTTAAAAATAAAAACGAATGTTTTTAATTTTAAAATTTTAACATGAATTAAAAAAAGGCACCGTGAGTAAATGTTTGTATAATAGATTTAAAACTTCTACACAGTAATGTAATAATAATAATAAAAAAAAAAATTAAAAATAATTTTCCCTGTAAAAGATAATTTGTAAAAACTAAGAAATACAAAAGTTGTTCAACTTTACATGCTGTTCCATTATACCCGCTTTTACTATATATGTTTGGTAGTGGTATAGTGGTAAAAACACTCTTCAAGTTTTTATGGTCATTTGTAATTTGGACTGTTTACTGAAGTGTGTCAACTTGGAAAGTGTTACAAATGGTTTAGTTAGGGTAAAAATGTGCTGAAGGCTGTTTATAATGAAAAAACAATGTCATAAGAAACCTGTGCATATGAAAACTTATTACTAACTATTAATATCAAATTAAATAAAAAGTCTTTGACCAAAAATTTAGACATTATCTTGAATAGAATTAAAAATTAACCATATCCATGTATACAGATAAACCAAGTAGCAAAAGAAGAAGTAAAAACTTATGTCAATTAAAAATTGACACAAAAATGAAAGCTTATCACAATTCACTGATCAAATCAGTTAATTAATTTTTTTTTTCAACATGATAAAAGAATAAAAATTTAAAATCAGGTTTGTAAAAATTTTATAAGGAGAACATCAGCAAAGATAAATTGTTGGCAGTAAACCACTTTTAAAAGTTAAATAAATATAGCTCCTCTTGCAAGTTTTTACAATTTGAGCTCTGTAACTCTTGTAGTATTTATGACTATTTTTTAAGAATACACTTTAATATTAACAAAAAAATGTGCCAAAAGACACATTTTTGGGTAAATATAAAACAAATATATAAATATTAATATTAAACAAGCCCTGAAAAATGGCAACTATTGAAAAAAAACCTGACAAGAATGAATAAACCATTTGTGATTAGAATATCTATAACTTTTGTTTATAAAAATTAAAATTTTCTTTTGTAAAGTTAAAAGTACACAATGTTCAAAAAGTTACTATAGTCCAAAAAAAGCACAAAGCACAATAACACCTACATGCAAGCACAATAACACCTACATGCAAGCACAATAACACCTACATGCAAGCACAATAACACCTACATGCAAGCACAATAACACCTACATGCAAGCACAATAACACCTACATGCAAGCACAATAACACCTACATGCAAGCACAATAACACCTACATGCAAGCACAAATAACACCTACATGCAAGCACAAATAACACCTACATGCAAGCACAAATACCTACAGTGAAATGGCTTGTGCCCATATCTAAATTTTTCAATGTTTATACTAGTTTTATTAAAAAAGAGCTTAAAAATGAGTTTTACCATCTACATGAGATAATCTATATGAGATATATAAGTATTACTTGATATGAATCTATATGAGATATATAATATTATTTGATTATTTTAATTAACTGATAAGGGAGACCGAGTTGGCTATAGAGGTAAGTTGACAGTGTTTAACTTCAGAGCATTCCATCAAAAAATGACAGAACAAATCTTCTTAATTGATTATTTCAACATTCATAGTAAAAATTCACTTCACTGTAGGAATTCAGCCCCTTCTTACCCCAATGTATATGTGCCTTGTTTCATATATTGTTATTTTACAAAATAAAGTTTATAAAAGTTAATGAACAAAAATTAAATTAAATTTTTCAAATCTTCTTTCTTCATCTCTTTAAACTTGAGACTGCTTCAGAAGCTGATGTTATCTAAAAAACTACTTCTTTTAAAAATTATTTTCAAAACAGTGATATCTTTTTACATTTTTATAAAATAACATACTAATAACAATAAGGAAAATTAATTTTACTACTTAAACTTCTTAACTCCTTGTGTGTGGTATGTGTGTGAACAAATACAGAAATACCATTTCTAGATCACTAATATTCATTTGGCAGGTTAAGAAAGGTTCATAGGCCTCTTTCCATGTCATAAAGTCAGTCATTGTGGTTCCATGCAATATTAAATTAGGTAGCAAGAAAAAGTATATTATCAAAATTTAATTCCAATAATTGCAATGCTTAAAATACAAAGTTGAATCAAAGTAAAATACAAAGCTGAATCAGACACCAACTTGAAATACAACGTTGAATCGGCATACAAAATACAGTTGGTCAACATAAAATAAAACAATGTACCAACATTGGTTTTTTGTTGTTGATAACATCATATATGTAACATAAACAATCTTGGCCACTGATGATTGGCCAACTCAACTCACATGATTGTTCTAAGATTTTACCATAATATGTTTGCTAGTTAGAAGATATTCGCTTTTAATTTCTTTTTGTTTCAGAACCTTAGAAACTTTGCAACAAGTTCAGAAAACAATGTCTTGAAAGTTGTCTTACCATTAAGCTCTTTTGTTAAATGCCAAAAGGAAAGTTCATCTGTGTGAAGAGAACATACTAAACTTCAAATTTTCTTTTTAACTTAATCTCTAAAAAATAGATAACACCTCCATTATAATCTGTATTTGAAGCTGTGCTATTACAACCAATGAATTTTATGTTATCATTAACACCATTCAAAGTAAACTGTTAAAATATATAATTATAGTTTTGCTTTTTTTTATAATTTATACTTTTTAAACATTAAAAACAAACAAATAGTAAGTAAAATGATCTTTCTTTTTAACTAAAGGATAAAATTTCATATTTAAAAAATGTTTAGTTCAAATCAACATTTTAACTCAGTATTAGAACACCCTTCCTCATTATTTTTTGAACACCCTCCTTCATCCGTAAAACTTGCTCCTAATTTTTTATTTATTTAATTGGATCACAACTTGAGCTTTTTACCCTTTTTTTTCTTTCTGCAAACTAAAAATTAATTTTTAGGTCAACAAGATAAAGCAAGAGATGAATTTTTGCAAAATAAAAACTTTTTAAATCAGTTTTTAACAGATCTTACATTTAATTACTTTCCAGTAAATAATACTTTCAGCTACATGTTTATAATAAAAAAAGATAACTTTTGAAAAGTACTGGATGTCCTACCATCAAGGTGTAAACCAGGATATAAATGTTATGTATTTATCATTTATAAAGGAAAAAAACTGCCATAGTGGAGTATCTACTTTTATCCTGCTTTGCAGTTATGAGGTTGTTTATTAATATTATTATTATTAAAAGTGCGAGCTGATGCACCATTAATAATAAAAACTCTAAGCAAATTAGAAAGCAACAAATTTTTAGAAGCACAGCAGTAACTAAACTTTGAATGTTAGAGTCCTTTTGCAATTCCTTTTATTCTATATAATAATTTTTGTATCTGCATTTTTTCTTGGTACCCATATCGATAAAAAATTACCAGATACTTTACATCTTTTATAATAATGTATATGATCACATTCAATATGCAAAACAAAAATTGTAATGGTCGGTACAAAATAATTCCCTTTAGACAATAAAAATCAGGATAATTTCCTATAAATTATACTTATGTTTTTATTTTTAGCACAAAGGAATTCTAGTAAACAAACATAAGTCATAGTGTTAAACTTAATAAAGAGATAATAAGAGAAATAGTACAACAATTTATGTAAATTATAATCTACAAAGTTTTAAACTATTATTTAAGATTATGAAAAGTTTAAAACTTTTTTAGAATCCAGTTTAAATTTTTATACACTTTTTATTAAATTCTTAAAAACTTAATTTTATTAAAAAACATTTTATAAATAACTTTGCTTTAATATTCAGATAAGTTTATTAACTGTAAAATGAGAATAATTGATTAATTAATTGATTGACTTTATTCGGGGTGTACATTACAACTTTGGTACAAAGAAAAAAAATGTCTTTACTTTATTTAAATTTTCTTCAACTTTTTTTAAACATTGGTATGCTGTATCTATTTTTTTTGGTTTTAGTATTATTGGTATCAGGAAAAAAGTAGGTCATGGTATTGGGAAAAAATTTGTTTTTGACTCAGCTCTATTTTAAATAATCTTTACAAGTGATTTGTTGTTTACAATATAAATGTTTTCGTCTTATAAACAGTATTTTATTTATATTTAAGTAATTATTTTTATTATAACTTTTTATATTTTTTTAATTTACTTTTTAAAAATTTATTTTTATTTTATACAACTTTTTAAGAAAATTAAGAAAATATTAGGAAAGTTCCTTGTTATGTTCATTTATTGATTACATAAACATTAGTACACACACACATACACACACAGATATATATATATATATATATATATATATATATATATATATATATATATATATATATATATATATATATATATATATATATATATATATATATATATATATATATATATATATATATATATATATATATATGTTTATATATTTATTAAGGATATTGAAAAAATTGCACCATCATTTTTGAAAGAAATAAAGTCTATAGGAGTTGCATTCCCTGACTGGATATCAGATTTAATTATATGGAAATTTCCTTCTGAATTTGATGCAGAATTCCACAAATGGTGTTTAAAAAAGACAAAAAGTGAAAATAGCCTACTATCATAAAACTTTGATTTGAATTCTACTTTGAAAAAATTCAACATAGTACCTACCCAAACAAGCAAAATTATAGAGTGGTGAAACAGGCATGGAAAAAAAAAAAATAATACACATACAAATGAAATTATACCCCTGAATTGAAGCAAGTGGCATTAAAATTACATGCAAGTCCATGTGTATAGCATTTTTCAAATTCTGGTTTGGTTTGCTCAGTAACCTTTTTTTTCTTAGCAGCAACTTCTTGTTGATTGAAATTCTTTATCCCCAAAGAAGAGTCAAAACAAACAGCTTCCATAGAAATCATTTTTTGTTTTGTTTCATTTTCAAAAGAATTTATACTGTTCTTCAAATAAGTGAAATCTTTTGTTTTTAGTAAAGCCAATAATTTACTATTTTCATTTTGAAACACATCTGGTTAAAATAAAAATTTAAAAGAGACTGACCAATATAAAAATAACAATCGAAACCAAGAAAAATTGCAACAACAAATAACATTGAAAAAAAAATCAATCAATAATTGTGGTAACATATCTAAAACAATAAGATATAATAAATAAATATATAATACCTAATGTTGTAACATGATCTTGTAATTTGTTTTTTAAGTCGCGATTTGTAGATTTTAACAATGCAATTTCCGCCTCCAAAGACTGTAAATATGCTAATAAATAAATTTTTAAATTTTTCTGTCAATTTTTTTATGTTTAAAGTTAATATACATTTCTGTAAACTTTTAATATTTTATAAAATATTTTTAAACATTTTTGTTGTAAATAAACATTTAATTATTTGTTTCTACAGTAACAGTTTTAAAACAGTTTTTCAAGTTATTTTATTTAAAACTCCCCCAACAAAACTTGAAAAGAAAATTTGTAATCAAATTTATTTGAAAATAATTCTTCTATGTCTAGTGTAATATTTTATATTCTAAAATAACTAACTTTCATTTGGCGCAGCATTCATTTGTTCACTCAGTAATACCATTTCTGCACGCATTTCTTTAATAACCACTTTCAATTGATGATTTTGTGCTTCAACTGACAACAAGTCTAAAATTAAAGTCTACTTAGGTTAAATTATTAAAATTGAATAATTTGTTATATAATAATAGTATTTTAGTATAAATTCTCAATTTTTATAACCAGTTCAATTAAACTATAAAATTAAAAAAAAAACTATTCACGTAAAAATCTATATAAATGTTTTATCATTTAAGTATGAACAGATTATTTGAAAAAAAAAATTAAATTATTTGAACAAATTTACAGAACAGATTATTTGTTGTATAAAATTTTAGATTTTAACAAACGAAAACGTAAGCTGATAAACCATTTTTATGATTTTGTCAAATACAAAACTTTTAAAACATTTTAGTAGTACTCTTTTTTTTAAACTCATTTATGCTGAACTAGCTGAAGAACTGAAACTAAGAATATAGTGCAAAGCATAGAAATATATATATATATATATATATATATATATATATATATATATATATATATATATATATATATATATATATATATATATATATATATATATATATATATACATATATATATATATATATATATATATATATATATATATATATATATATATATATATATATATATATATTTACACACACACACAGACATATCAGGCTTTGCAATAAAGCGTTTCATATACGCAAAGATCGATTTTGTATGGGGCTCAGCTATTTATGTTAAGCTAAAAATACTTTTGTTTGGTAATATTTAAATAACTCTATAGATATTTTTAAGTGATATTTTAATGAATGAAAGTTTATTTTAACAGTATTTTAAAGAATTTATTATCAATTTTCAAAACTGCACACCATCGTTACAAAAGTATAAAATAAAAATACATAAAATTTGCTCATTATTTACAAATATAATAAAAAAATTGAGTTTTAATAAAACTAACTTTTGTCAAAATGTCAAAATATTCAGCAAAAAAACAAACAAACTTGTCTTTTGTTTTATATGTTGTAAATAAACAAAAAACAACAACAAAGAAAAAATTAATAATAATAATCTAAGCAAATTAATCTAGCAGGCAGAAGATTTATTTAGTTTTATAATAGTTATATATGTATAAATGTTTGTTTTATAACTTACATTTGTTCAGGTATTGGAAATACAACGACAACCGACAATAAAACATTACTTTAAAAAACTTTACTTTTAACTAACTTAGGTTAACTTTTAAAAATTTAGCTGTTTAGTTTCTATATAATGATCAATTTGACCACTTGACATATGTAGCATTAAAAGCACGAACGCTTAAAATAAGCTAGACTATATGTATATTACATTTTTCATTTTTAACCATGTAATGCTTAGGTTTAACCTGATTGATTTTAAATTTTAGGGTGACTATTATATATTGTTTAATAAGCAAATTTTACAATATTGCCAGAATTATCGATTGTTTAAACCTATAAGGCTTTTCTTTTACATCTATACTTTATTTTACTAAAAATGAAAAAAAAAAACAAAAAAACTTGTAAAAAAATATGTACTTAATATATATTATAGTTGTTTTAACAAAACAAGTGTTTATAACACATTTTAATTACATAAGTGTATATCAATCATTTTGTAAAAAAAAAAATTACATAAAATTGCTGGTAAAAAATTAATGATTGCTCACTTTTTATGCTTGCAATATTTAAAACTTTATATATACAGTAATACTTATGTAATTAAAATGTGTTATATGATTTTGTTTTATTTCTGGAAAACATTTAGTAATTTACTAGCTGTCTTTTTAAAAATATTTTGATTGTTATTTGCAAAACTCTTAAAATGTTTTCCTGAAATAAAACAAAATCTTTTTTATTTATTTAGTTATAGATAAAACATGATTGTGACGAGAAAATAAACAAATATTTTTATATTTTTAAAAACCGGAATCTAAGTATACATTCAATAAATTACTACATAACACAGGCTTGGTCGGGAAGCGGGTGCGATCGCACTCGATCATTGACCACGGAAATAATATTTAGTTGCAAAAAACTGGCAAGATTTTATAGTCATTTTGAGAACATTTCAAAAACAAACAAAAAAGCGCAATAAGATTAACTGGACCAATGAGAGACAGTTAAAAAAATATAACTTTTAACGCAAAAAAACTTTAAGCAAAATAAATTTATTAGAGCAATTATTTTTGAAACGTCGCTCTTTTATAATTTTTTTTATAAAATTAAGCGACATTTTTTATATAAAGAAACAACTATAAAGAAACGAATGTTCTTTAATTTATCAGAGTATATATAAATTTTATTTATATACTTATGCCTTATTTTCAGTAACAGATTGAGGAGGTGGGGTGGGGGTAGTAGGGCTATAGCCCCGGGACTCATAATGTTAGGAGAAATAGTCAAGAGGACCATTCAGTATTTTTTTAGTCATTTTTACGCTGTGGCACATAAAAAAGGCCGCCAAAATAATGCAGCCCCCGGCCCTAATAAAACTAACGCTAGATAATTTATTTATAAATAAAAAAGTTTTTTCAATTACTGTTTTACGTTTTGCGTAGTTTAAAAAGTTTAACACATTTGAAACAATTCTTCTTAGTAATATGAACAAATGAAATAATTAAATCATTGAGTTACTCTATAAATTCAATTAGCTAGAAAGAAATTAACTAAAAACGTTAAATTACTTTGTGAGGAGGAAGTGGAATTGCTTCACAATACTGCTGATGTTTAGTGAGTGGGCTTTATAATTTTAATTAGTATTTAAAACAAAAAAAAGTAACTTTAAGTATAACGAGTTTGTAATAATGGCTGAAGCAAACATAATTGAAGTTAGTAAACCAATTTCTAAGAACTTAAAAACTTTTCTTTCTTGGGGGAAAGAATCAGTTATCGGGTACACTGAGGAAAATGGATAATTGGTTAAAATTATTTGTATCAACTTTGACGAATATTAATAATTTAATTGAAAACACAGTTATTATTGAAAGTATTTTTGTTTACAAAATCAATCGCACAAATTACTTTAAAAGATTACATTTGAATAAAATACACACATAAAATTACATAGATAAAAATACATTACATACATAAAAAATACATCCCTTATATATAAAAAATAAGAATATACTAATAAAATCTATAATATATTTACAAAACGTTGACAAGTTAAAAAATATAAATTTTAAATATTTATTATTGTAAACAAATAATGTTAGTTTAAAGCATTTATAGTTTTGTAGATGTGGCTCTAAGAATTAAAATAATAGTTCGTTTGATGGTATATTCTTAAAATAATTTATGCTAGAAATCTCACGAAAACGTAACAAAACTCAAATAATACAATACTTTAAAATATCTCATCAGAATACTCAGGACATTCTGTTAGATAGATAGATATATATTTTTTATTAACCGAAATTTCTAGAGTATTTTTTAAATACTCTAGAAATTTCGGTTAGTATCTTTGGAACCATTAGAATTAGTTGTTCGTAGATTTGGCGGGTTTTTTTTGTTCGCAAATATTCTTTTTTTATTTTTCCGCACTAAGATGTTTGAGACATTCAAGTTTATGCATGTTTCCATATAAGTCCGTAAAACAAAATATTTTAAAATTTAGGATAAAATGAACATATTAATTTGCGGACAAACAAGGAAACATACATAAACTTAAATGTTCTCAAAACGACTAGAAAATCTGGCCGGTTTTTTGCAACTAAATATTATTTCTGTGGTCAGTTATCAAGTGCCATCGCACCCGCTTCCCGACCAAGCCTGGTAACACTTCTACATTGTTTTTAGTTAATTTTTCAATCAAGCTAGGTTTGCAGCTATTTAGAAAATTGGGGTAGTTCAAAAAAGTTGTTGATAAATATAAAGCAAATTAAATACACGCATACATATATATGTGTATATATATATGTGTGTGTGTGTGTGTGTGTGTGTGTGTGTGTGTGTATGTGTGTGTGTGTATATATCTATATATATCTATATATATCTATATATCTATCTATCTATCTATCTATCTATCTATATATATATATATATATATATATATATATATATATATATATATATATATATATATATTATTATTATTATTATTATTATTATTATTATTATTATTATATATTTGTTAGAACAAGGAGATACATGTTCAAAAGACACATAGACCCATGCAAAAGATGGACACTAACAGCGTGCCCTTACAAAAACTAAAAATGTACCATCGAAAAAATGTAACAATCATAATTAGCAGTGTTTTTTAAATTGGACGAGTTAATTTTTTTTTAAGTAAAGAAATACTTTTTGAGTGTTCAGCCTCCAAATTATTCCAGATGTCAGCAACTCTGTAAGAAAAACTATAATTTTGAGTGTCTAAGTGACAATATTGTTTTCGAATTTTATAAATATGACCACGAGTGTAGTTATTGCTGTCAACATCAAAGAACATGGAACTTTTAATATACAAACAAGATTTAAATTTTTTTTTATATATACAAGTAAAATAACTTGTGCAATTGCAGAAGAATTAGTTGATGCTTTAAATTAGAATTAATTAATTTTTATACTTTCTAGGACATAATTACTACATAGCCTGCTATATAGCTACTATGTAAACCTCTACATAGCTTTTAAATAGCCCGATATACAGGTATTACACTTAGTGGGTGGGTAGCCCAAAGGCTACATAGCTATGATAAAACATGCTTTAACACAAATTGTTATATAGCTAAAAATTGCACGCTCATAGTTACTACAAAGCCAGCTACATAGCATGTATTCCAAAACATAGCTACTACATTAGTATGTAGCCCGCTACATACTTATGCAGCAGCTATGAAAAAACAAAACAACTCGTTACATGCCTACCAATAAAAAAATATTTAATACAATGTTTTAAAAAAAATTTAATGAAATATTTGATGCTACTGCAGGCTAGGTCGGGAAGCGAGTGCGATCACACTCGATAACTGACCGCAAAAATAATATTTATTTGCAAAAAACCGGCCAGATTTTTTTAGTCGTTTTGAGAGCATTTAAGTTTATGTATGTTTCCTTGTTTGTCGGCAAAATAATAAGTTCATTGTATCGTAAATTTTAAAATATTTTGTTTTACGGACATACATGGAAACATACATAAACTCGAATGCTCTGAAACATCTATGTGCAGAAAAATTAATAAAATATAGCAAAAATATTTGCTAAAAACAATCTTTTTGTAATAAAAAGTAGAAAATAAACTTTTTAATTTAAATTTAATAGTTCCATAAACTAAAGATTGACAGGTCTGCGCAAGGTTTATTTAGAAAATACCTGTCAATCTTTAGTTTACGGAACTACTAAATATAAATTAAAAAGTTTATTTTCTACTTTTTAGTACAAAAAGATTATGTTTTTAGCAAATGTTTTTGCTATATTTTATTTTCTACTTTTTAGTCTTTACAGAGATTTACGATATTTAGCAATACGTTTATCTAGACATTTGTAATTAAGTCGAGCTTTTTATCCTAAAGAAACAGAGTATTTGCTGATTAAAGGAGTGGAATACTTTTCTTTTAAAAGATAAAATTTTTTTATATAAAAGTAAAATAATATAAAGTACAAATATTTTATTTGCATTGCAACCTGCATCCTCCCACAGATGTATTATACTTTTATATTAATATTAAACAAAGTTAACATAACTTTGTATATTACTTTTTCAATTTTATTAAAAAAATAAATAAAAAATAATAAATAAAAAAAAAAGATTTAAAAAGAAATACAATCCCACAAGCAATCTTAGCCGATTTTAAAAATTAAAAAAAAAATTATTTTTAAAAGAGAACAATATATATTAAAAAAAAATTGAATCCACAAGCAATATTAGCCTATTTTAAAAATGAAAAGATTTGTTAATAGATTATTATGTCCATTCTAAACAAACCTGCAAGCAATTTTAAAGAAAGTCATGATATTTAGCAATCTCAAGACATATGAAATTAAATCGAGCTGAATGTGCCAATGGTGTAAGTACGAACTGGCATATATGCAAATTGCCATAAGTGCAAAGCAGTTTCAAAAACTGGCACAAGAGCCAACTGGCATAAGTGAGCCAAAAGAATTTGCAAACACTGGCATAAGTGCGAACTGGCAAAAGTGCGTCAAATAAAATTGCAAATATTGGCATAACGTAAATTGTTATTGTGCTCAAGCTAGTTCGCACTTATGCCAATTCGTTCTTATTAAGCCTCGCGGATTAAAGGAGCGGAATATATTTTTTTAAAGGATAACATTTTTTTTATATAAAAGTAAAACAAGATATAGTATAAATATTTCATTTGCATTGCCACCCTCGTCCTCCCACATATGTAATATATTTTTATATTAATATTAGACAAAATTATGTTGTAAATTATATTTTTCAATTTTATTTAAAAAAGATTTTTTTTTTCAAAAAGAAAGTATTAAATATAATTACTTTTTGATAATAAAACAAACCCGCAAGTAGCTTAGAGGCAAATTTCTATATAAAAAAATACTTTTTAAGTGTCCCTTGGGCGACAAAGAAAGTTGAGGAAGAGTTCATGTTAAGTGAAAGAAAAGATTATAAAAAAGAATATTCGCAAATACAAAAAAACCACCAAATCTACGAACAACTAATTCTATTGGTTCAAAAAATATTAGCCGAAATTTCTAGAGTATTCAAAAAATACTAACTGAATGTTCAAGAGTATTCTGTTGAAATATTTAAAAAAATTGTATTATTTGAGTTTTTTTATGTTTTCGTTGAGATTTCTAGCTTAAATCGTTTTGAGAATATACTATCAAATGAACTATTATTTTATTCTCATTCTTGGAGCCACATCTACAAAGCTATAAATGTTTTAAACTAACATTATTTGTTTACAAAAATAAATTTTTTCAATTTATATTTCTTAATTTGTCAAAGTTTTGTAAATATGTTATAGATTTTATTAGTATATTCTTATTTTTTATATATAAAGAATGTATTTTTTATGTATGTAATGTATTTTGATGTATGTAATGTATTTTTATGTATGTAATGTATTTTTATGTATATATTTTTTATGTATGTAATTTTATGTATGTGTGTTTTATTCAAATGTAATCTTTTAAAGCAATTTGTGCGATTGATTTTGTAAACAAAATTACTTTCAATAATAATTGCATTTTCAATGAATTATTAATAATCATCAAAGTTAATACAAATAATTTTAACCACTAATCCATTATTCTCAGTGTACCCGATATATTCTTACCCGATAACTGATTCGTTTTTTTGCTTCAGCCATTCTCACAAACTCACTATACTTAAACTTAAAGTTACTTTTTTCTGTTTTAGATACTAATTAAAATTATAAATCCCACTCAATAAACATTATCAGCGGTATTGTGAAGCAGCTCCACTTCCTCCCCACCAAGTAATTTAACGTTTTTGGTTAATTTATATCTAGCTAATTGAATTTCTACAGTAACTCAATAATTTAATTATTTCATTTGTTTATCTTACTAAGAAGAATTGTTTCAAATGTGTTAAACTTTTTAAACTACGCAAAGCATAAAACAGTTATTGAAAAAACTTTTTTATTTATAAATAAATCATCTAGCATTAGTTTTATAGGTTGAATCTTGTTGGGCCGGGGGCTGCATTAGTTTGGTAGCCATTTATGTGCCACAGCGTAAACATGACTAAAAAAAATACTGAATGGTCCTCTTGACTATTTCGCTGCCCCTAACATTGTAAGTCCCGGGGCTATAGCCCCGGGACTTACAATGTTAGGGGCAGCAAAAAAATAAGCTTTGGAAATAAGACATAAGTATATACATAAAAATTATATATACTCTTTGATAAATCAAAGAAAATTTGTTTCCTTATTAAGCAATCATTAATAGTAAGTTGTTACTTTATATAATAAATGTCGCTTAATTTTATAAAATCCGCTTCCTGACCAAGCCTGCTACTGTAAATGATGTCATTGCAAAAGTAAAAAAGATTTAAATTAAATACATTACATCATTTTAGCCATATCAACTTAAATATTATCTGCATTAATTTAACTCGTAGGATAGTCCGCGCAATAGCAAGGTAGTGTAGTCCAAGTTTTAATTTGACTATAATTTTATTTTTTTAGGACATAACTACTACATAGCTCGCTATATAGCTTTAAAATAGCCCAATATACAGTTAATGCATAGCCTTCCGGGTACCCGCCCACTATAAACCTTTTATACAAATGCTAAAACATAACCTGTTATATACCTATTGCATAACCTGTTATATAGCTACTACATAGCCCCCTCATAACTACTACATAGCTACTACCTAAGCATTTAGCCACTAAATACCTATATAAAAAATATAATAATACAATATGTGTTAAACAAATTTAAAAAAATATATAACACGCTCATTTTAGTGATGTAAAATTAAAAGTTACGAAAGCAAAAAAATAAAAAATAAAAAAAATTTTTAATGAATTAAATTTCCTAATTTTTACGATATCAAATTAAAAGTTGTACATGTTAATTTGATGCCAAAAGATGTCAAATAAATTGCAATGGCATTTTTTTAAAATTAAAAACGTTTTTTTTTCTTTCAATAAAACAACCACAAATCTTTATTAAATTGATTTTTTATAATTTTTTTTTTATTAAGATCACTTTCAGATAGATTTTAAACGAAGTTTATTTTTTACTTTTTTTTCTATGCAACATATTTTTTGAAAATGAAAATGTTCACAGACAGACAACTGCTACGTTTTTATATAATAGTATATATATATGCTTCTCAATATGAGAGAAAATTTGAGAACAGATATTAAAAAACATGCCAGTTTTTAATTTTTGTATTGTGTGTTCCTTGCGTAACAACTCTTCCTCTTTTTTCTGAATAACTATATCTAACTAAAAAATAAAGATGATATATAAAATATGAAATATATATAGAGAACAATTTGCAGTATAATACATTATTATGATACAAAACTTGTAGAATAACAAATACATAAAAAAAATGTTAAAAAATTCATAAAATAAAATCAATTTTATTTAAAAATCATAAAGTAAATAAAACATTTAGCGATCTTATTTATAAAAGATTTATAAAGTTTAATTAATAGCCCTAAACCAAAATATAAAATAAAAATATATATACTGCCATGACCAATATTGTATGCTAATATTGATCATTTAGCTGTAGTGAAGTTAAAAGAAAACAACAAAAACACAAAAAAAAATAGATAAGAAAAACAAAGCAAAACAAAAACCTATTGTAAATCAATATTATTGAGATAATTTGCTCAAAACCAAATGTATAAAAAGTCTTTCATTTATTCATTTTATTATTATTATTTTTAGTAAATGGTCATTAAGTCAATAATATGCAGCAGCGTGTCTATTTAAATTGCTTTTGCAATGTTTTAATTTATTACAATATTACACTCTTCATATTTGTTGTTGGTTTTCTTGATTTAATGAGACAGCCAAGTAAGACAACTGTCATATTGTAAATGGATGATGACAATGTAAAAAAAAGACAAGAACTATGGCAATCAAAAACATTATTGTGACTTTGCCAGTAACATGCAATGACTAATGACCAATAATAACAAACACTTTTACCAATAATTTTCTTGATTTGATCATATAATAGAATATCTTATTGGTATCTTATTATAGGGCCTGACAGATTCAATATCTAAAATATTGAGTCCGTCAGACCCTATTAATAAGAACTAAATTTAATTAAGAATTTGCTTCATAAATGTCAGTGTCATAAAATAAAATTGAATTAACTATTTCAATTCAATCTACTCTCTATTCATTAAAGTTGTAAATGCCTTTTTATTAGTAAATAAAAAAAGATAATCAAGTCTACTAAAAAACAGGCAATCTGGTCTGCTAAATTTATTTCATTTAAATCCCATTCAATTTAGTATCCATATTTAATGTTTACAGGGTCATTTATAGTCTCATAATTATAGTAAAAAAAAGTGGGAAAGGACCCAAGAAGCCATCAAAGTTTTATATAGGTTATAATATAAGTAATACGGTTTTTGGCCAAAAAAATATCTATATATGGCAATGTTTCCATCAAATTTCCTTACGGCAGGAGGGCAGTGTTGCTCAAATTATTTTCCTAGAATTGCCCCGGATAAGACAAAAACATTATTATGTATTATGAACCTAAAACCTAAAACTCATACGTAGTATGAGTTCTAATATATATGCAAAATCATTACCTTTGGAACAACTCCTGGATACCATTGAATTTTTAAAGTGAATGATTGTCACTCATTTTTCACACAAATAGACAATTCAGTTGCAACTTTATGTATTTCTTGACATTGCTTGGTTTCTTTGTCTTCAAATTCATTGTTACCATTTTTTTAGTTGATACAATTAATTTTCCAGCCCATAATTGTTTACTCCATCTAGAGAACAAAGATCTTGATAGTTTGAAACAAACTTATCAGCTGTAAGGTTCTTTTATTTCCATATCAGTGTTTTCACTTCTTTTGGTGACATCTTTCCTGTAATTTCGCCATTTATAAAGTATTCATAAAGAAGTTTTTTCAGCTAAAAGGAAAAATGAAATGCGTTTTTGTTGGGATTGCCTAACTTGGATTTTAAAACATTTCAGAGTGTGTATTAAGGCGGGTCAAAATTTTTTTTTAAGAAGCAGCATATTGTGAGGGGTTCCTATATATGTGTATAGGATGCATACCAATTTTGAGGTCTGTGCTACCCTCCGTAGGGGTTGCAAACAAAATTGGAATTTTTGGCATTTTAGAGGAATAGAGGATATAAACAACTTTTATATATAATTATTTTATAATTGTTTTATTTTATTTTATTTTATATAATTGTAATGATTTAGATATACCACAAAAATGTTCTACTAAAATACTGTTTAGGTGTTTTATTAGAATAAAGGATACAAGGTGTTAAATAAGGGATATAAGCTTTAAAATGCTTTTTGTTCATATAATACCTTTTTTAAGCAAAGAAACAAAACTTTTAGAAATAAAAAAAAAATAGAATGAAAAGTTTTTATAGGCTATAAAAAATGTATATTTTTATAAATGTCTTTCCATTGCGCTTTCCAATCAAATTTAGGCATTTTTTCCCTAGACTCCAACATTACAAATGGTTTATTACAAATTTGTAACTTTTTTTCATAGTCATATCTATTTTCTGATGCCTTTGTGACTACTCCAACTATTCTTTCCATATTATGACTATGGCAAGAATACTTTGGGATACTTAATGGACTGTCATTGGCTTTCATAATATCTTCGTTTGAATAATCATTCAGTAAAGGTGGCAAATAAACTTCTTCGATATCCCAATTTATTAATTGAAAGTAACCTTTGGCTCCAAGATTTAATGTTGTAGGAAGTTTAAAATGTCTATTGGAATCGCTAGTGTTCCTAGATTTAAGTATCCTTTGAATGGCTGTAGTTCTAACTTGTTTTCTTTTATCACTTCTCATTACCAATAAAATATTCTCTAGGTTAGAAAAATATGAGTTTTGCTTCATTACCTCCTTGTATTTTTTGCTCCATTACCTCCTTGTATTTTACATCAATTACTGCATTTTTAACTAATTGAGCAAGATACCAAAAATTTTGAGCGCTATTGGTTGCCAAATAATTTGATTTGGAACCATCCTGGTGCATAGCATTGCATTATTATTGTAACCCAGTCAATAAGTTCTTTTGTTGACTTTTCTGTAGAAATGTATAAGCGTAGAATACGATTTGCTCTTGTGAGCCAACGGGCATGATGAATGTTTCCAGGAGAATTTTTACATATTTCATTTGAAACATCTCCTGATTGAATAGATAGATACTGTAAAGATATTTTTGATCTGAACTTAATTCACTAAAGATATTATCTGGAATTAAATGAAAAGAACCATTGATTTTTTTTTGAGCCACTGCATTGGTCTTTCGAGTTCTGTTTCAATTAATTTTATCACCCCTCAAAATTTTCCAGTATTTACTACAGTTGCATCACAAAGCATTTAAAGAACCGCTGCTGCCAGATTCAAATATTAAATGGAGAATTTTATTAGCAATGCAGCGAGAAGTTCCATTATCAGGTGTTAAATGATCTATATAGCTGCTTGGTTCTCTAACAATTGTTATATGTTCTTCTTTAATTATCCCTGCAGTTGCTTTTGTATTGTCTTTTCTTCCATCAAATCCAATACATTGTAATTTCAAGTTTTTGCATTTTCTCTCATTTACATTTTTTTGTCTAACACGAAGTCTTTCTCTTTCAAATTTTTTTCTATCAAGCATATTTGATTCATTTAGTATACCCATGTCTTTTAGAGCAGCATTGACAATAGCAGCAGTTGCTCTGCAACTGACACGATAATGATCTGCTATGATTGCTAGTTCATTGTAATGAAACCTATTTTGATTACATTTTTTTATGACATCAGAGTCATATAGCTTGTCATATTCATGATTAGATTCATATAATATGATATTATCTTCAGATTCATAAAAATTCTCTTCGGTAATTTGTCTATTAATGTCTTTCTCAACATTTTTATGAGTGTTTTGCTGTTATAATTGTTATAATTTTTTTTTCTAGTTTCAGTTTTTTTTAAAGTAGATGTGTAGACACAATCAAGTAGTCCAAGTTGATTTGTTTGTTTCTTTAGCCCAACAAACACATCCTACTCTTTTATTGGCACTTTAATATTACATCTGCATTTCTCTCTTTCTATTCCTAAATCATAACAATTGCATGAACATATATCAAACATGCTGGTCTCCTCCATAAGCTTTCTTCTTACAGTGTATCTGGAAACATCTTTAAGATTATTGAATCCTTCCTTTCCAATCGTGGCATAAAAGTTGTCCTTGATGGACAGCACTCTTCTTCTTATTCTGTAACCTCAGGGTTTCCTCAAGGTTCAATCCTTGGCCCTATACTCTTTAATTTACATTAACAATCTTCCAGATATTCTCACATCTAAGGTTGCATTGTTCGCTGATAATACTACCATTTATTCTTGTCACAATAAGAAGCCAACTCCCTCTGATTGCTTGCAGGGGGCATCTGAGCTTGAAAAGGATCTCACTTCTGCTACAGCATGGGGCTCACAGTGGCTGGTGAACTTTAATTCAGATAAAACTCAATTTTTTTTGGCCAATCGTTATCGCAATAGTTTAGACCTTCCTATATTTATGAACGGTTATGTACTCGATGAGTCTCCTACCCTTCATCTTCAAGGATTAACTCTTACTTTCTTGGAAACCTTATATCAAATCCGTTGCAAAATTAGCATTTGCTAAAATTGCTTCTCTTTATCGAGCTCGTCACTTTCTTACTCTGGATTCTATTCTCTATCTCTATAAATCTCAAATCCGGCCTTGTATGGAATACTGTTGCCATATCTGGGGCGGATCTTCTAATGATGCCCATTCTCTTTTAGACAAGGTGCAAAAACGCATTGTAAACATAGTTGGACCTGCTCTTGCAGCCAACCTTCAACCTCTGTCACATCGTCGTAATGTTGCTTCTCTTTCTCTTTTCTACAAATACTATAATGGTCACTGCTTGAAAGAGCTAGCGTCTCTTGTGCCATCTACTAAAATTCATTCTCGTGTTACTCGTCATTCAATTAAATCTCATTCTTTTTCTGTGACTAATCCTAAGTTCTCCAAAAACTCTTATTCCTCTAGTTTTTTTCCTCGAACATCAGTTCTTTGGAATTCGCTTCCTTCATCTTGCTTTCCTGATTCATACAATTTGCAATCTTTTAAGTTGTCTGTCAATTGTTATCTTGCTGTACAATCTTCATCTTTTCTCTTCCAGTAACTTCCAACACTAATTAGTGGTTGCTTGCAGCCTTGTTGGAAGCGAAGATAATTTAAAAAAAAAAAAACGTGTTGTCAAAAGCTTTCAATTTGTCATAAAAATTAGCATTTCTTCTAAATCTTGAAGTTTTATTTAAATTGGATGCTTTTTCCATTAATCTACATACTTTTGAGAATACTCCCTCTGTTTCGAATGTTGGAAAACTGAATTTATGCCATATTTTCAATTTCAGTGGTAACTAATCTGTAACAAATAAGCAGAACTTAATCCTTTGCTTTTAGCATCTTCATTTCTGCAAACATAATAGCAATATTTCACAACATCTCTTTTTGTAGGAATCATTGCAGTTGGAAATTTAGAACCTTGTCCAAATGTTAAGTTGTCAGTTTCACTGCGAGTATGAAAAATTGTCATGATACAATGTGTTGCTCATTATTAGTTATAGCATGACGTTAATAATTCTGAAATTGAGCAACAATTTTTTTTTGCTCAAAGTTCTTTTTGTTAAAAGAATGTATACTCCGAAACAAAACAAAAAATTTTTTTTTACAAAATTTTTTACAAAACTTTTTTTGGTGGAAAAATTAGGGTGCGTGGTGCAACCCCTAGGGGTGTGTGTAAAAAAAATTTTTAGTCCACATAGTTTATTATACCAATTCAAAAACTCCACATAATGCTGCTTGTCAAAATTTAAAAAAAAAGTATGGTTTTGACCCGCCCTACTGTGTATTTTTTATTGAGGTAGGTGTAATTTTAAAAGATATGGTTACAGAATTTAAATGAACTTGTGAAGTTGCTTTCATCATTTTAATAAAAACATTAATTTATCTAAAGAAGATTTTTCAGATCTTTTATTTTGTCTGTCATTATATGCTCCTCTAACTCAATAATAGATTTAAAAAAATTCAATACAACTTGTTTCTCCTAGAATTTTTTCACTGAAAGTTTCCTTTAGCACTTGTGTATAAAACAAGTAGTTTGTTGTAGGGAAGGTTGTTGTATGAAGCAAGTAGATTGTAGTATGTTGTAGGGAAGGTTGTTGTAGGAAGCAAGTAGATTGTTGTATGTTGTATGGAGGGTTGTAGTAGGGAAGGTTGTTGTAGGAAGCAAGTAGATTGTTGTATGTTGTATGGAAGGTTGTTATATGGAACTTTAAATACATAGTAATTGTAGTTGTACTGTAGGAGTTCTTATTTTGGTAGAATTACGTAGTACATAGATTTAACTGAATAACTGGCATGATAACAGTTTCTTCATAAAGTTGTCTTTCTGCACCTCTGAAAACTTCACTGATAATACATTTTGTGCATAGTCATAAACCCAATTCCTTCATTGTTTATATGCATCATTCTTGTTTATAAGCATCATTTTTCTGCTGTGCATCTCTTAGTGTTTCATATACTCTGTAATGTTGCTGCTTATTGATTATAATACATTTCATAGAATACATCATCACCAACAAGTATTTCATCATTTCAATTTCATTTTTCACCATCACATATTTAATCATTATCATCAGCAACATAATACATTTCTTATCTTGTTGACTTAATTTAAAACTTCAAATAGAGCATTACATGGTTACCATCATTGTTTAAATAGGTCATTACATGGTTACAATTATTGTTTAAATAGGTTAGATTGTAATTCAATGTTTTAGGACAAATCCAGTTAAATGTGTTGCAACATTATTTTTCAAATTACTGCAATGAAGTATATATTTAGCTTTTAAACGCCTTTCAAGGTATTTAAAAACTAAATATCAATTGATCTTTCAAATTTTCAACAGTTGATTATTTACTGAACATGTTTGTAAACTGTATAAGTATTTGCAAATGCAATAATCCTGGCATTATCCTGTTTATTTAAACCAGCCAGGCATTTTCTATGAGATGGTTTAATTCTATTTATTAATAAGTCTGACATAGGCTCCTATAGAATTTCTGTGTAACTTTTGCTATATAAAACAATGGTACAACTGTATTTTATTAATAAAATAACATGGGCTACAGTTTTAACATCACCAATATTATACTTTATTTGAGAAATACTATAAAAAAACATTAATAAAAGGATAAAATCTGAAAAATGTTCAAATTATGGAATTGAAAGCTTTTGTAAAAAAATTAGAAAGTAAAAAAACAAACACTAAACATCTATATTATTAATATAGATGTTTAATGAATAATACTTTGTAGATATTCTTTATAAATAAGATTGGTTAAAGGTCATTACTCATTTAGTTATAATAAGTTCACAAAAAATGTGTAAATGACTTGAATTTCATTTTTGAGTTGGATTTTGAAACCAAATTCCAAACTCTCATGTCAATATTTGTATTCTTGTCCTTTCTCTCTCATGTCTATATTTGTATTCTTACTCTCTCATGTTATATTTGTATTCTTAGGATTTACAATAACAATAAAAAAAAACTCACAGATTTGGATTAAATGAAAATTAAAAAAAAAAAAAAAATCATTTTACAAATACTTTTGAGGCAAAAAAATTTTTTGTTTAAATTTAGACTAAGAAAAAATTCAACTTAAAGTATTCAACTTTCACAACCGAAAGCCACAGACAGATTTTGATTTTTAAAAATTTTGACCACAAGCCACTGGTAGCGGCTTTCAAGTATGCCTCACAAAGTGCCAAAATCAAACAATTTTTTTTAAAAATAATTTCCTTAAAAGGTTGCCTTAATGATCCTATTATTTTGACCTCAATTAATTAAAAATAGAAATAAAACCTTTTCTTGCTTTTTTTCAAAATTTTCAATAACACTTTTGTGGTTCTCCAATATTTCATTTAATTTATTTTCTAAAAGCGTCTTTGATTTTTTTTCAGATATGTTGTTTTCCTTTAGTACCTCCTTGTTTTCTTTTAGTGTCTTCTCCCTCTCAAGTGAAAACTCTAACTCTTGTTGAAGTCTAAAATTAAAAATAAATTATTTAAATAAATAAAAGTATTTTGAAATAAAATTATCAAGTTAATTTCTAAAATTAACAAATTTCTATTATATATATATATATATATATATATATATATATATATATATATATATATATATATATATATATATATATACAGGGCTTGTGACGAATAAAATCGTCAAACGTGTTATATCGCGCTCGTAAAATTAAAATATGTTTTCATCAAGCGTGATTATGTGCGCTCGAGATAACATCGACGAGCGCGATCATGAAAATGGCTGAAGAAGATCTTTTTTTATTTGTTACATCATTCTTTTGTCGACAAATGTTATAATTAGTATCACACTCATGAATTAACACTCTTGTATATTGTCAGATCGGGATTTTTTTTTAACTATTTATGTTATAAAAAAAAAATATCAAACAAAAACGCAACTTCTTGTTGATTTAGTATTGAAGTATAATTTAGTGACTTTTTTATAATTTAGTGCCTTTTTTTGTTTCGTTGTTTTGATATATGTATTTAAAAATAGTTTTTATATTTCTTGATATTTTTTATTCAAATTAATTTATTTCTAAAATTTCTTTTTTAAATTACGATTTTTTATCTTAAAAAAATAACACAAGAAAGTTTGAAAATCTTTTTTTTTTTAAACTATTTATTATAGGTTAAATAACAGATTTTCCCCTCAACTGTTGTCAACAGTGTTTCCTCTTCTACATTTTCGAAACTGAATGCAGCTAATTCGTCACTCATATCTGGTAACTTCAGTTCTAAAGCCTATTACCTCTTGAACTTTCCATTTAATAAATGTTGACAACATTACTTTGTTTCCTTTTGGAATGTCATTTGATGCGGACATTCTAAACAAAAGAATCATTTTAAATTTGAGTTAAAATAAATAATAGTTAATAAAAAACTTATACTATAAACAAAAACTAATTTAAAAAATTACTGAATCATTATTATTTATTTTTATTATAAACGATGTATGGAATATTACAAACAATAAATCAAATAAATCTTACTTGATGTTTTCACAAGATTAAAAATATTCTGCAGTTTCAATTTTCTTATAATGATTTACTAATTTTTTATTATTTTATTTGTGCATTTTTGTATTTGCATTGAATTTCTACATGCACATTCCATCAATGAAATTAGTGCCTATTAACGACTTCAAACTGCTCATCCATTAGGTTAGTGCAAAAAAGAACGACGTAGTGCTTTTTTTATTTTATATTATATTAGTGCTTCGATAATATAAAATCTTTATAAAAAATCTTTTTTTCATATTTTATGAAAATAAAAAAAAAAGTTATTATTTGTTTTGCCCCGAACTTTTGGACGAGCGTTATTTTATACGCTCGTTATAAAAATACCATTTACGGGCGCGTTTCACGAGCGGAGCGCGATCGCGCTCGATTCATCACAAGCCCTGTATATATATATATATATATATATATATATATATATATATATATATATATATATATATATATATATATATATATATATATATATATCAGGGGCTATTCTAGGAAAAAAAATTGGGCGGTGGTACTCCTGTCTTGGAGGAAATTCCATGAAAAAAACAATATTTGCCATAAATAACATATTAAAAAAAAAAATGGCCCTCAGTTTTTAATTTCGGCGACGCCCTAATACGATCAACACTGTTAAAAACAGTCTAGAATAGCATATTTGTTGGTACTCTAATACCATACTGAAATGAATAACTGCCTGGAGCTTCAGTACATACATCAACTGATACAGAGAGAACATGCATGAGTTACTGCTACATTGACTGAGGGTTTGGGTTGGGACAGCAATAAGTTTTTTTTATTATTCTTTGTTTTTTTTTTTTCTTTTTCTGAAAAAATTGTATAGATTTAAGTGGGAAAAATAAGTCACCAAATACATGATATATCCTTAGATATTTATAAAAAATATATAGGTGAATAAAAAATTTTTTATAACCCTTCAGTCATGGTGAAGTGTTTTAATTTGGTAAAAAAAAAAAAATAGTTATAAACAAAATAAGAAAATCACAGTACTACAGTTAAATCAATATGCTCACTTTTTAAGATCAATTCTACAATTATCTAGTTCATATTTCAAATTATTTTCAGATAAACTTAGCGCTGCAAAATCCACATCTCTGGTTACAGTAGTTTGACTTTGAATGTCTTGCAAATGCTGTAATCTAAACTTTAAATGCTCTATTTCTTGTTGCGCACTAAAATTAAAATAACCCAAAAATTGTTAATACTTTAATTCTTGTGACCTGCTCTGAAGGCCATAACATTTGTTAGTAAATATGTCCACGCCCACAACTATTTGATAAAAAAATTTTTTTAACGAACAAATGTTATAATGTCACATTATCAAATATTTATTGATCAAATATTAATCACAAATAAACAATTTAAGAATTAAGCAAACTAATTTAGTATTCAAAGTAAAAATTAAAGATAAAAAAATCAAACATTACAAATTTTTAAAAAACCTGTGCAACTTTGTTTCTAGTGTTTTTTCATTAGTAATATATTTTAAATTATTTTGCTTTAGCTGAAAGCTTAGTGCTTCATTTTGTTCATTATATATTTTTAATTTTTCTTTGAAAATTTCTTCTCGATTATTAGCTGAATTTTTTAAAGTTTCTACAAATGCATCTTGTCTGGCACAACAATTTTGCAATTCATTGCATCTAAACAACAACAACAACAAAATTTATTTATGTTATTTTTATACAAAATTTTATCATAATTACAATACCATCTATGTTTTCTTTTTTAATATGCTTCTATTTTTGTTTGCATTTCAATTATATTCTTGGTGCCATTATTTAAATATTTACTAAGACATTAACAACTAAAATAATTTTTAGTTATTTTCTTGTTTAATAGGGTATAGAAAAAATTTCATTGTCACAGTTAAACATTTATGTACTGCCTAAGATCCCAATAATTTTTTTTAATCTACCGTTCAGCCTAACCACAAATTTAACGAACTTTAATAATATAATAAACAAAGTTTATTTTATTAAATATAAGTTTAATTGTTCCTCATTGTTTTGTTTATATTAAAATTTTGTTTAAATTATAAGATTTTGTTTAAATCAAAATAAATTTTTATTTATGAAAAAAAATATGTTATTAAATGAGTTTATTGACAAGTTGTTATTATCATTAGAGTACAAAATTATTTTGTGGTTTTAAAGAAAGACACTATTGCTCTTTAAAATTAAAACCTATATTTTTTTTTGGGATAAAAGAAAAGCTACAACAACAGTAACAGTATATAAACCATAAATGATTACAATAACACTATATTTATACTGTCAATTTGATATATCTATGTATATATTTATATAGTTATAAATTGTCATTAAAAAAAAAAAAGAAAATGTCACATTGATAGATTAACAGTATCTGACACAAAAAATATTAAAAATTCATTAAAAATGACCCAATGATGAATGATTTAAGTACACACAATATAAAAGTATGGTGTAGAAAAGGTTGCTAGCTAACTATAATATTATAAAAATAGCTCAGGTGTAGGGTATGGGATTACAGACTTTAGTGTAGAGATATAGTTCAGGACGCATCTCTAGTCTTTCAGACAGGGTTACTTCAACTTCAAATTTTATAAACTTCACAAAAACTACTAAAATATATTTTTAAATTATTTTCACATTCAAAAAAGATCATTAGTGTTGACGAAGTATTAACAAAAGGGCACTAGTGCTGACCAAGTATTAAAAAAAATATTTATTCTAATGTTACACCCCCAGCCAGAATTCATGATAACTGTATATAGCTGACCCAGAGAAATGGCTGGGCGCATATGAAAGCCCTTGATGTCTGGATTTCAAAAAAATAAAATTTGAAATCTAACTAATTCGTCTCAGAAAATAAGTTTTTATTTTCATTATATTACAGCAACTAGACAAATGACAACATAACTATTTTTTGCATTTTTACAGTATACAAAATAAAAATTTAAGTGAGTGATAATTTTATTATTACATGACTAAAACATTGTTTTTTTGTTTTTATGACTTTGCAAAAAGAGCATATCTGTATTTCTTACATAAAATGATTTTTTGTTATTATTGGTGTTAAAATTACGGGAAAGGGCTATTCTCAATACATCAAAACAAAGAGCCACTCATTTTTACGATTTTGGAATCATTTGATCTTTCAAAATGCCCAATCAAACTAAAACTCACAAAGATTGCCGGAAAACTGTGTGTTTCTTGTGCTTGAAAAAAAGCAAAAGGACAATTTCACCATCAATGGCACAGGAAATTTTAAGCTTGTTTGAACAAAAGATCAACTTTGAAGATGAACAAACGCCAATTGGGATTTGTGAAAGATGTCATTCAGCACTGCGCAGAAAACTTGATGGAAAAGAGGTTGTCATGCCAAGACTCTATGACTTTGAAACCATCAATGTCAGGCGACCTGCAAGCGAACTGATCTGTGATTGCATTATATGCAAAAGTTGGGCATCTGAAGCTAAATGAATCCCATCCTCTTCAAAAAGTCAAAAAAATGACCACATGTGAAGAGAAAGCTGTGAATAAAAATTCAACCTCTGACCACAGATGTTCCAAATGCCTCTCGGTTCTGGGGAAAGTAATTTTTCATGTATGCACTGAAGCTAAGTTTCTCAAAAATATGAGACTTTTGGCATCAAATGACAGCACAGTTGCTCAACAAATTGCAGCTTCTGCAATAGCTGGCACAGATGCTTTCCCTCAAGGAACAATTTGTCTGGCTCAAGCAAAAGGTGGACGACCTTTACCAGTCACCCCAGGTAAAAATGACTCTATTGTAGTATAATTAAATGTGTTCAATTTTATTAGTTCTCAATGCTAAAAATGTAGTCGATTCTTGAGAAAAGTCAATTACTTTAATTGTGACAACTTGTAAAATTTAAATAAAAATGCCAAAATATTTACTTATAGGTCCTTCAAGTGCAAGAAGACTCTTTGGATCAACATCCTTAGTTACTGCAGGGGATCTTGTTCAAGTGCAAATCAATACTGGATTGTCAAACACAAACATGAAAAAGTTAGCAACAACTTTGAACCAAGTTTCAGCAGTCCGAATTACTGAGCCAAACATTTGCTCCAAATTTTCTGCATTAGGAAACTCACTTGCTGGATTTTTTGATCAAACAGATATTCTACCTGAACAAGGCAATGGAGTTATTGGCAAGAAACTTTTTTTCTTTGTTTCCATTTTTTGTTGTTTCTTGTGATCTGAAGCTGGCCAACATCCTCTATGGACTTCAGTCTCACGGAGGACAATTTGCTGGAAATGATTGTCACAAGCTTCTGAAGAACCTGGATTTGTTGCAAAATCTTGCAGAGAAAACATCCTCAATTTATTTGTCCCATTATCAACACTTTCTGGAAATTTGAAGCTGTGGTCAGTGCTTGCTTTGGGCCCACATTATCTTCTGATTTCTCTAGAAAAATTGACTTATTCAGAGAAGCTTATATGACAATGCCATTTGGAAGCATGACTCCAAAAGTGCATGCAGTATTTTTTTATGTGAAGGACTTCATCCAAAAGAAAAATACTGCTTTGGGAATCTTCAGTGAACAAACGACAAAAGCTATGCAACATCACTTTCATCAACACTGGCAAGTTGCATGAGACCATCAACACATCCAGAATATGGAAGGCAACTTCAAACATGCATAGTTGACTTTAACAGCAAGCATCTTTAAAGGCAGTTTTAAAACAGGAGCAGAAGACTTATTTTAAGAATTAAAAAAGTTATGCATTATTTTTGTTAAAATGTATTACTGTTTATTTTTATCAAACCAGTGCTGTAAAATGAATGAATACATATGATATCATTGAATAAATAAAATTATCACTAACTCAAATTTTTTGATGCTGTAAAAATGCAAAAAATGGGTATGCTGTCATTTGTCTAGTTGCTGTAATATAATAAAAATAAAAACTCAATTTATTTTCTGAGACGAAATAGTTGGATTTCAAATTTTATATTTTTAAAATCCTGACATCAAGGGCTTTCATATACACCCAGCCATTTCTATGGGTCAGCTATATACAGTTATCATTAATTCTGGCTGGGGGTGGTTACTTAATTGTTCAAAAGAGTAAAAAGTAAGAGTTAATAGTTTCTGTTTTAATTGGGAAAGAACTAAAAGCTAAACTGCTATATATATATATATATATATATATATATATATATATATATATATATATATACATATATATATATATATATATATATATATATATATATATATATATATATATATATATATATATAAATATATATATATACACACACACACACAACACACAACACACACACACACACAAATATATATATATATATATATATATATATATATATATATACATATATATATATATATATATATATATATATATATATATATATATATATATATATATATATATATATATATATATATATATATATATATATATATACAATTTAAATAACTACATATCATAAAACATAAAAGTTAAAATTATAAAAATAAAATAATATAAAAAAAGAATAAAAATTTACTTTTTCTTAATTTCTATCCTTTTTTTTTTTGAACGTTGAATAAACTCTTCAACTTTAGTCTCTAAATCTTTGAGTTGAATGTCTTTTATTAAATTTACACTTTCAATCTCCTTAATTTTTTGTGCTAACAATTTTTCAAACTTTACTAATTTTTCCTGATCTGCTGCAGCATTGTCAGTTGCCAAAGAGGAAGATTTTTGCAACAATTCAAGTTCTATTGACAGCATCTTGACCTGAAATAAAAAGTTGCATTTTATTTGGAAATTTCAAAGTTTTACATTTAGTTTTGGTTTGAATTTGTAAACTAGTTATATTTTAAGAAACAATAATTTACTCAACTAAATGATTTATTTAATAGTCAAGAAGGAAACATTGCGATAGCAGAGCTAAATGAGACAAATTCTCTTTGTACTGAAGTGGTATTTATATGCTGAGTAGGTGGAACCGGAATTTGAACTTGCAAACCTGTTGCTATGGTTAATAATAAATCAAAACTTGAGCAGTACTCTAACCAACTGAGCTATCCCGGCCCAGATGATATCTAACAACTTTTTACACACAAAGAAATAATTATGAATAATTACAATTACAGCTTAAATAGATAAATATTATTTATATGAATATCATATATTAAATTTTTATAAATATTATTTATCTATAAAGTTTGTATAAAATTAAATCTAGTTTTTGCCATATGCACAAATTTCTAGAAAAAACAAAGTAAAAAAAAACAGTTTTTTGGCTTCCATTTAAAAAACTGTAGTTAATTAATCTCATTATAAATAAGATTATCATTTACTACTGACCTCTTATGGAAAGCATATGTACAATTCATAGCAAAGTTAAATTCTGGTAAGGTTTTTTTTTTTTTTTTTTATTATTATCTTCGCTTCCAACAAGGCTGCAAGCAACCACTAATTAGTGTTGGAAGTTACTGGAAGAGAAAAGATGAAGATTGTAGAGCAAGATAACAATTGACAGACGACTTAAAAGATTGCAAATTGTATGAATCAGGAAAGCAAGATGAAGGAAGCGAATTCCAAAGAACTGATGTTCGAGGAAAAAAACTAGACGAATAAGAGTTTTCGGAGCACTTAGGAACAGTAACAGAAAAAGGATGAGACTTAATTGAATGACGAGTAACACGAGAATGAATTTTAGTAGATGGCACAAGAGACGCTAGCTCTTTCGAGCAGTGACCATTATAGTATTTGTAGAAAAGAGAAAGAGAAGCAACATTACAACTATGTGACAGAAGTTGAAGGTTGGCTGCAAGAGCAGGTCCAACTATGTTTACAATGCGTTTTTGCACCTTGTCTAAAAGAGAATGGGCATCATTAGAAGATCCACCCCAGATATGGCAACAGTATTCCATACAAGGCCGGATTTGAGATTTATAGAGATAGAGAATAGAATCCAGAGTAAGAAAGTGACGAGCTCGATAAAGAGAAGCAATTTTAGCAGATGCTAATTTTGCAACGGATTTGATATAAGGTTTCCAAGAAAGATCAGAAGTAAGAGTTAATCCTAGAAGATGAAGGGTAGGAGACTCATCGAGTACATTACCGTTCATAAATATAGGAAGGTCTAAATTATTGCGATAACAATTGGCCGAAAAAAATTGAGTTTCATCTGAATTAAAAATCACCAGCCACTGCAAGCCCTATGCTGTAGCAGAAGTGAGATCCTTTTCGAGCTCAGATGCCCACTGCAAGCAATCAGAGGGAGTTGGCTTCTTATCGTGACAAGAAAAAATGGTAGTATCATCAGCGAACAATGCCATCTTAGATGTGAGAATATCTGGAAGATTGTTAATGTAAATTAAAAAGAGTATAGGGCCAAGGATTGAACCTTGGGGAACCCCTGAGGTTACAGAATAAGAAGAAGAGTGCTGTCCATCAAGGACAACTTTTATACTACGATTGTAAAGGAAGGATTCAATAATCTTAAAGATGTTTTCAGATACACCATAAGAAGAAAGCTTATGGAGGAGACCAGCATGCCAAACTTTATCAAACGCTTTAGAAATGTCAAGAGCAATGGCCTTAATATCTCCACCTTTATCTTTATCTAGCGATAAAACCTATCGGTTATTACTGATAGCAAATCAGCGGTAGAACGAGAAGATCGAAATCCATACTGATGATCAGAAAGTAAGTTATGAGATTCAAGATGAGAGATTAAGTGTTTGTTAATTAAAGATTCAAAAACCTTGCTTATGATAGGAAGAAGACTAATGGGACGGTAGTTAGATGAGTCAGATCGCTCTCCAGAATTTTTAAAAATAGGGATAACAGATGCTGCTTTCCAGCAGGCTGGAAAACAAGACTCTGATAAGCACTTGTTGAATAGTTTTGAAAAGATAGACGACAGCTCAAGAGAACACTTCTGCAAGACTATAACAGGTATGTTGTCCGGGCCGCAAGATGTAGAAGAGTCTAAGCGGGAAATCACTTTAGATACAGAAGCTGAAGTGATACGAATGTCGAGCAATGGATCAACCTGTTTGACGGGTATATCAGGTAAAACGCAACTAGTAACATCAAGAGATGATATTGATGAAAAGTTCTTGGCAAACAATTCAGCTTTGTCTTTAGATGAGGTGACAAAGTCTGAACCATACAAAAGAGGTGGAATTACAGACTTGCCCTTATTATTGATACTAATAAAGATTCTCCAGAAGTCACGAGAGCCTAATTTTTGTGATGAAATACGAGATTTCATGATCTGAGAATAGCGGGTTTTGGCGTTAGACAAAACCTTTATACAATGGTTCCTAGCAGTAATAAAGAGACGTCTGTTTTCTGGAGAATTGTTTTGCTGATAGATATGGAAGTAATGGTTTCGATTGGCAATTGTAGCAACACAATGTGAGGAAAACCATGAAGAAGAGAGAGGCTTGACCTGGAATCGTCGAGAGGGAATAAAGGATTCCATCCCAGCCTGAATCCACGAAGTTATGTAAGAAGCACATTTGTCAACAGGGAGACGAAAGATTTCTACCCAGGGGCCATCACGAAGAAAGTCACGAAAAGAGTCCCAGTCAGCTTTAAGGTAGTTGTAAGATGTACGATGATAGGGGGATTCTAATGGTAAAGAAGAATGAGATAATAGTTTTAGAGAGACCAAACCATGATCAGACGCACCTAAGGGTGAGTGTGAAGAAACTGAACACTGACTAGGATCAGAAACAAGACATAAGTCGAGTAGAGAAGGTAAATGATTCGGGTTGTCTGGAAAGCGAGTTGGAAAGTTGACTATTTGAGTTAGGGATTGAGAAAGACAAAAGTTGTGGGCCTTAATGCCTGCAGAGTCACTGACACTAGAGCCAAGCCATTCAGTGTGATGAACATTAAAGTCACCGACAACAACAATATTGGCTGATGGATAAAGAATGAGGGCTTGGTCAATATAATCAGAAATAACATCAAGAACAGTGCAGTCTTGGGATGAGGGAGAGCGATATAGAACAAAGAGAAAGGTGATAGAGTGAAGTGGTGCTAAACGAAAGCACATAAAAGAGTAGTCTGTGGATTCAAACCTAGTTTCCCGACAAATGGGTGAATTCTTACAAATGTAAATGCCCAGGCCAAGCATGTGACTATTGGAGTCTTTACGAATTAAAGGAAGATAACCATCAACACTAAGATCACAAGATGAGACAGCTGAACTCAAATTAGTCTCACAAAGAGCAAGCAGGTCTGGTGAACTTTGTAAGAGAAAAGACTCAACAGAAGAAAAGTTACTTCGAAGACCACAAATATTGGTGAATGATAGGTTTAGCAAACTTGGTGATGACTGTGGTTTTTTGTGTTTTATAGTTTTTGTTACTTTATTCAATTTTAAATTTGTTAAAGAACTTGACTCGAAACATTTATAGTACTCAGTACACTGTTCTATAGCTCAAGCAATTACCTCATTTCCACTAATAAACCCTAAGCCGTAACAAAGGGCTCCAATGTGGCCTTGGCAATGCTCACCAAAAGTACAAACAGGGACACCATCTATGCGCAACATGGCACTGTTAGTACTCTGATATTTTTCAGCTGTTGATGGAATCAGCCTCTCTGAGAGCTACCACAGAGTTCGGGAAACCTGACTACCAGCCGGACTCAGAACCATAAAACTGAGTTTTAGAGCTGTACCCTCATTTGGAGATAATAGAATGAGTTGCCTAGTCATAAAAACAGAGACGCAAGCAAAACCCATGAATCGAGTCAAGAAGATCCAGCGTTCAACATCCTAAACTGAAAACAATGTATTAAAAATACATCTGCACCAGCCTAATAGATGACGAAGGGGTGCGAGGCTGGTCAACAGGTAGAATCTGTTTACCCCTTAAGTCTTTGCCTAGGAGGCCTTCTACAAGACAGCAGCCGGATGCATGTAACATCTGCCCAAGATGAGTATTTTTATCGAGACACCATCTCTAGCCCTTACTCAACCAAGACCCCCAAGGCAGGGGGTGTTTTATGTCGGAGTTTGCATCTCCTAGCCTTTGCCTAAAAAGACATATCCTACAAGGCAGCAGGACATGAAGCAGATTGTACTGGGTTACATGTTACCAGTAGCAGGATAAACCTGACCTGACTCTTGTCTGAGGTTGCCTCTCTTTATTGTGTCCACTCCCTATTCCATTCTCTGCCATTCTAAATCATCTTGGATGGAATACTTTTATCATATTTGGGCTGGTACCTCTAATGAAGCCCTTCCTCCTTTAAACAAGATCCAACAGGTTGGAAAACAGATTGTAACCATTATTGAGCTTACTCTAGCTGCTAAGTATGAGCCTCGATGAGATCTCAAGTATGAGATCTCATCTCAAAATGACGAGGCTTATCTGACCTGATCATAAGATCTGCATCTCTTTTTTTTTATAAATACTATCATGGTCACTGCTCAAGCAAGTTATTATTACTTGTGCCATTAACCAATATGCAGTCTCATGTGACTCTTAATTCAGCAAAGTCCGATCCTTTTATTGTCACTTCCTTCATGCTCATAAATTTTTATTTATCTAGTTTTCTTTTGCAAACACCAGTGCTTTGGTGTTCTCTCTGTTTAGACATTTGTCTTATTCTCTCCTACTTTCATATTTTTCTCACTCATACAACCTTATGGTTTTTAACCCCTTCTGCCAAACTCTTTCTTGCTTTTTAGCTCTCTTCTTGGTTTTATGTTAAGCCCCAAATTCCCAACATAGTTAGTGGTTGTTTAAAGTCTCTAAGGAAAT